CAACAAAAATAATTTTATGGTTGGGTGTCACCACAACATGAGGAACTGTATTAAGGGGTCGCGGCATTAGGAAGGTTGAGAACCGCTGCACTAAGGTAAAAAATAACATTGAGTGGTTACTGTATGCAGATGCTCAAGTACCTGGAAGAGACCGACAGACCTTCTCTGCCCTCCAGGAGCTTCTGGGATTGGGGGAGCACAGAAATGTTTAAACACTTACACAAGATGTAGGGTGGTCAGTACTGGAAGAGAACTGACCAAGGCACTAGGGAGCACACTGGAGGCCGCCAGTGCAGCCCCAGGGTCTAGCTCACGCTGTAGAGTTTGCCAGGCAGATATCGTGAGAACAGGTATTTCATGATACTGAGGGCCAAGGCAGAGGGTTTGAAAGAAGGCAGCGGGCTAGGGAATGGTGAGGAGTTTGTTATGGCTGCACTTTACGAATGGATGTCACTTCGTGTCAGAACATATAAATCTCATTTATTCTTTTGAATAGTACAACATTTTATATTACAGTTGTATTTAAGTTTATGTTTTTACTATACCTATTGTTGAACATTTATATTGTTTCTAGTTTTTTGCTGTCATGAACAAAGTTGAATGAAACATCTCTGAAGCTACATTGTTATACACATCTTTAATTATTTCCTTAGACTCTATTCCTGCAAGTGGAATTGTGGGTCAAAAGGTATAAACATTTTAAAGATTTTTCTAATACAATTTGGCCTCCTGAAAAACAATTCCAATGAACACTCTACCAGGAATATTTTGTGAGTACCTATTTGCCTGTGGCTTTGCCAGCTTATTTTCTTTTATCTTTTCCTTCCGACTTTGATCCATTTGTTTGGTGAAATTTGTTTCAGTTTGCATTTAAATGAGACTTTTTTTCTTTCGCAGGGGAAACTGGCTCTGGGAAGACAACTCAGATCCCTCAGTACCTCTATGAGGGGGGAATCAGCCGCCAGGGCGTCATTGCTGTGACCCAGCCGCGTCGAGTAGCTGCCATCTCTCTCGCTACGAGAGTCTCAGATGAGAAGAGAACTGAACTTGGGAAGCTGGTACCTAATTTCCCCCTTTATGAACATTTCGCACCCCCCGCCTTTTCTTTTTATGAACAAGACATAGTGAGCGTCTTTCTTGCCACAATTGTTTCAGCCTATCTCAGAGTTTTTAACCAATTTCTAAGAAATCAGAGGGTCTGACAAGCTATCAGTCCCATTTGCTTTGCTTTCAAATCTTTTGGCAGGTTGGATAAATTAGCTGTTTTTCTTGAGCATTTTTAAGGGTTCAACAACCTCTGTTATATCTTTTATCTACATGTCTTTCTGGAAAAACTAGGCATTTTTCTATAGCATATATATGGGCATTGAGAATGAGTCCCAGAGCTGTATATAAGTCAAATTCGTGTGTGTGTGTGTGTGTGTGTGTGTGTGTGTGTGTGTATGCATTTCACTTAAAAACATCTTGGACATCTTTTCATATCTGTATCTAGCTTCACTTGAAACTATAAAGAAGCTACAGGTAGGAGGCTAGTTTCAAATTCTTTATAATGCTTATTGTCATTGCATTCAAGTTAAAGGCACATGTCCATTGTCACTGTTGGTCTTGTTCACTGTGATAGCACAAGTGCCTGGCACAGTGCTGGTTACATAGTGGGCGTTCATGGAGTGTTTGACGAGCGAGTGATTTCTCTGCACAGGTTGGCTATACAGTGCGCTTCGACGATGTCACATCAGAAGACACCAGGATCAAGTTCCTGACAGATGGCATGCTTCTGCGTGAAGCAATTTCAGACTCGCTGCTTCGGAAGTACAGCTGTGTCATTTTGGATGAAGCCCACGAACGGACTATCCACACGGATGTGCTCTTCGGAGTGGTGAAAGCTGCACAGAAGAGGCGAAAGGAGCTGGGGAAGCTGCCCCTCAAAGTAGGTACAGTGCGCTTAGGGAAAGAGGCCTGTGTTTCTTCCTCAGCGTGCTCTCCGTCACCCACTCTGCTTCAGAGCTGTGGAGAAAGTTAACCGTGCCGGGAGTGACAGCCCTCATCATCCGCTTCTAGGGCTCGGGAGGGACACAGATAGGCTGTCGCGATGTCTGTTTCCCATCCTCCTCTTCCATCTCATACTAGGTAATTGTGATGTCAGCTACGATGGACGTGGACCTGTTCTCTCAGTATTTCAATGGCGCCCCCGTCCTCTACCTGGAGGGCCGGCAGCACCCAATCCAGATTTTTTACACCAAGCAGCCTCAGCACGATTACCTGCACGCTGCTCTCGTCTCAGTCTTCCAGATTCACCAGGTGAGGGGCGGGTGTGGCTCCAGCCAGGGTCTGCTTTACCTTGAACTTGATGGAACACTCAGCCCTGAAAAGAGAAGCACAACTTGGTGAGCCGTGTCACTGAGTAAGGAATTCACTGACCAGGTCCAGCTGTTTATCCCTTTTTACGGTAGCTCTCATTTTCTCTAAAAAGAAAACTAATTTTCCTCTGACCGGCGTCTTTCCCCAGCTGAGCCAGAAGACTTTTCATACATTAGAACGTGGCTCGTAAACCTTTTTTGACCATAACCCCCAGTAAGAAGCACATTTTATGTTGCAACCCAGCACACAATCTGTACAACTGAAATGAGTCCTATGAAACACCATCTGCTTTACTACATGTGTTGTTTCCTGGTATTTTCTCCCTCATAGTAAAAAAGAAAAGTTGGCATTAACCCAATAATGGGTTCCAATGTAGAGTTTTCATTTTAAAAATAAAACCGTGTTAGAGAAATATTTCAAAATCTCTTCTCATTTTATTAAGCATTTACTTAAAAATTTGAGTGAGTAAATCACCTCATTTTTGTTTTAATTTGTATAAAATTGACTGTTTTTACCTTCCCATTAGCTTTCTCAAAAAAATCTAGAGGCAAACTTTTTAAAATTAGTTTTTATTTTCACCTAAGTGATGCATGTGTAGTTTGAAGTTTGAGTCAAGTAGCTAATTCTAAAAGGCTCATAAAAAAAGATCAGTTTCTTTTCCCTTTCCCATCCCAGATCCTGCTCTTTAAAGTAACCACTTGGAGTTTCTTAACTGTTTCCCCTGGATATTACTTTCATATTTCTAAAGTAAACTGCTTAGATTGCTATTTGTTGGCTTGTTAGCATTATATTGGGTCGTCGGGAAAGTCATGACACATTTTTGCATTGAAAAACAGAGACAAATACGTCATGACTTTCCCAACGACCCAATATATTAATTTCTTACCGGTAGATGAGGATTTAGAAATAGCCCCTCCCCTACCTTCTGTTTCTCTCCTTCATCCTGTCAACATAGTTAAATCACAATGTTTTTGTTTGTTTGGTTTTTTGTTTGTTTTTAGCTGAGCCATCCTGCCACCTGTTAGCAGCTCAGCGGCAGCTCAGCTCGGGCCGTGAATCAAACCGGCGACCCTGTTGCTCAGCGCTCACACTCTTGAGTGAGCTCTTAACCAGCTGAGCCACTCGGCCGGCCCATGTTTTTGAAATCAAGTATCAGTATTTGCAATATTATGTCCCTACATTGCTAGTGGTGCACCATCCCAGTGCCATGTTCCTTGTACAACGTAGCTGTACAAGTTTTCTGTGTATATATGGCTAATTTTTCCCCAAGTGTTCCATCAGCTATCATATGCCAATCATAAATATTTGTTAGTGTTCAAACGTATTCCCCTTTTTCCCAGAGTCCTCTATGCTGCTCTTCTGCTGAACAGATTGCTGTCCTGGGCCTCTGTGTAGCTGTCATCCTGACTCTTCCCTTTGCCACCCTCCTGTGTTGACAATCCTGTTGTGTCACCATGTGTCTTCCCAGCCTCCTGGCTGCGTCGAGTAGAGGAGGGGACCTTGGGGGTTCAACCACACTGTACTCAGACTCTGAGCCAATTCCTGGGTTTTCACCCTCCCACTATCCGCCTTGGCCTTGCACCCAAGTCCTGGTCTTTCTGACTTCTCCAGGGAAATCAGCACATCTCTTGTCACCATTCCCTTTAGCAGACACCCAGGTTGGAATTTCCTCTGCCCAGTCAAGTCATCCACCCCTGCCCCATCTCTTCTGTCTTTCAAAATGGGTTGAAACTTCTGATCTATTCTTTTTTCCCAGTCTCTTTGTCTTTCTGGGCTTACACCTGCATTGTCATCTTGATAGTATTTGGAGAAGAAGGTCAATCTTCCTTATGTAACTGCCAAAAGCCAACCTGAGGTGAGGCTTTTTCATGAATGACGGCTGCAGGTACATTCAGGTTACATGGCGGCTTTGATGAGTTCTCCCATTGACAAAGTTTGACTGTTTTAGATTTTACGCTGTCTGTGTGTACCTTTGAACATTTGTCCTGTTAATACTGGGCTAAAAAAAGTATGCATACACATAAATATATATATTTACATATATACATATACACACATATATAATTATTATTACACATTTTTTCAAGAATTTTGCCATCAAGTACTTTACAAATATATCTGAACAGACTTCAAGGAAAGATCAGGTGAATGGGTATGTTTTTAACTGAACACTTAGATGTTCTTTCCCTTTGCAAGGTGAAGCATTTCTATTAATGCCTACTATTCCCACTACACCTTTTTTATAGGAAGCCCCTTCTTCTCAGGACATCCTGGTGTTCCTCACTGGTCAGGAGGAGATCGAAGCAATGAGCAAGACCTGCCGAGACATTGCAAAGCACCTCCCGGATGGCTGCCCTCCCATGCTAGTCCTTCCTCTGTACGCCTCCCTACCCTATTCCCAGCAGCTCCGTGTCTTCCAGGGGGCCCCAAAGGTGAGCGCACCACCTCCGCTGTCAAGCCCCATCCCCGGGCATGCAGACGGATCCAGCAGTGGGGCCTGTAGGTATGCCTGTCACCAGACTCCAGATAAGCTGTATGGGACGAGATGCTCAGGCACCAGATACAGTAGCTGAAAAGCTGCAGGAATATAATACACAGCTACACATGCAGTTCTGTTACGGTAAGAACAGGGAAACAGATGTCAGGGGATGCGGGAGAGTGCAAAGGCAAAAGCTGAAAGGTAAATGAGTGACTCTTCTAAGGTCCAACATAACAACTGCATCTGTCCATAATACCATTTGTTGGGTGCCCATGCTGTGCCAGGCACTGTGCTAACATTTTACATATACTGTCTCTCATCTTTTCTAGAACTGGCAAGGTAGGTTATGATCCCATTTTATTTTATAAACACTGAGGCGCAGAGAAATGCAGTAGCAATTGCTCCAGGGGCACACAGTAAGTAACTGCAGAGCCAGGGTCCCAACCCACATCTACCAAATTCTGAAACTGCCTGTTTGCTACATCTCATCACCTCAAAATAAGTTTTTAAGACTGCAATTCCCCTACCCAGTTTAATGACCAACCATCAGTATTAACAGCTGTCATTAATAGCAAAGTCATCTTTTCTTGATCATGATTGAATTGTGGAAATTAATGGTGAGGAATATGTTTTAAAACTTCTGAATCATATGTGTGTCATACGGCTTTTTGGTTTTCTTCCTCCTTTTAGGGCTATCGCAAAGTGATCATTTCAACCAACATCGCTGAAACCTCCATAACCATTACAGGAATAAAATATGTAGTTGACACGGGCATGGTTAAAGCAAAGAAGTATAACCCTGGTGAGAATTTGTAGCTCATGAATGTCTCTTCCGTGTGTAGTGAGCCACCATTGAGTTTCCTGTAGTCCCAGTTTCCCCCAAAGGAGCATTTCATGTTTGTAACTAAGTGAGATTTGGGTGGCAGGTACCAAAACTGAGACAATCCAGAAGCCAGGCCAGAAAGGAGACCCGAGGCAGGTATAAGACAAGAAAGAGCAGAAAGAGAAGCCCGGATTTAACAAACTTGGGGGCAGAGGCTCAGGAACCTGGGAGGAGGGTCTGAAATCCCATCAGAAGTTGGGTAAGAATGATGGCACTGGGCCAGGGACAGCCTGATACCCCATCATTGGCTCTCATCAGAAGCACGATTTGAATATGGCTGGTTCGGGCGCAAGGCTTCCTAGGATTCCCTGGGCTCGGGCGAGGCTTTTGCTGTGTCCTGAGAATGTTCAGTGGGAAGCTTGCTTGAATCATTTTTCTTCCTGTCTTATACCTTGCTTTATTCTACAGAGGATTTGAGGCAGCTGAAATTATCACTCCAAAATATTTCATTGAAATGCACTGCTGAGCTGCTGACTTTCACATGTGTGTCTTTTGGGGATAACACGTGAAAGGGCTTGGTTTTTCAGTGCCTGGCACAGAGTACACCTTCATCAAGAAAATTAGCCTTATTTACTCGTAGGAGTAACAGCATCACATTATCTCTCTTTTATAATAGAGGTGGGAGGGAGGATATAGTGTACAAGGGACTGGAAGCATTTCATTTCTGAGTCATTGATTGATTGGGTGACCAACCATCCTAGTTTGTGGAGACTAGCCCAGTTTTATCACCAAAAGTCCCAAGTCCTGGGCCAGCTGGGGTGGTTGTCACCCTGTGATGTAAGCCAGACCTCTAAAATGTATTCTCCCGGCCCTCTGCTATGAGCATGAGGCTTTTCTGATGTTTCAGTAACAGATTCCATGCAGTGTCCACTGCAGAAAAGCCTGGTTTTGTGCTTTCCAATTTAGCCTTGAGTTTTTCTAGACTCATGTCTTGCAGAAAGGATCACTGGTGTTCTGAGGAATGCTTCTTTTTGGCCACACTGTGGAAACAGTTTGTTTATATGAGTCAAACACTAATGTGGCCCATTCTCCCTCCAGACAGTGGCCTGGAGGTGTTAGCTGTGCAGCGGGTGTCAAAGACCCAGGCCTGGCAACGCACAGGCCGGGCCGGCAGAGAAGACAGTGGTATCTGTTACCGACTCTACACAGAGGATGAGTTTGAGAAGTTTGAGAAGATGACAGTGCCAGAGATCCAAAGGTAGGCCTGAGGTGCTCCTACCCCCTGCCATGTGTGCCCCATCTCCCTTTCCTGATTGCTCGTGCCTTCCCAGAACTGCAGTTCTCACTAGCACTCCTCAATGGATGGTTTTGACTCACTGGCTGGAAGACCAGGGAGAATGCACAGCCCAAGTTTCTCACTGTTCGTAGGTGTAACCTGGCGAGTGTGATGCTGCAGCTCCTAGCGATGAAAGTCCCCAACGTGCTCACCTTTGACTTCATGTCCAAACCGTCTCCAGGTGAGTGGAATCTGCAGTGGAGTAGAAGGTGGACCAGTAGACAAACAGCAGCAAATGGACTCTCCAAAAAAATATTTTAGAGGTCTCCTTTTGTGCTTTGGTGGAGAACATTAACTATCAGAGAAGCAGCCTATTAGAGTCGTGAAAGCATAGATTCTGTGCCATCGGCACCATTCCGGTACAGAAACAGTGGCTTCCTATAGGGACTCAGTCGGTTCCATGGCCTCAGGAACCAGTGAAGGTAGTCGAGGGAGGTTACACAGAAACCTGATGAAATTGTACTTCTGCCAACAAAGGGACTGAAAAGATCAAGCTTCTTTGCTTGCGACTGGAATTTGATTGGTTGCTGCCCTTCACTGGTAATCTCCATGGAGGAAGAAAAGTAATTGGGATTTTTAATGATATAGCTTTAGCACTTGACATTTCTTCATTACATCATTTTCCTTTATTTTTTCTCTCTTTTTTAAGTGAAGAGATGCAATTCGTTAAAAATAAATAAATAAAACTTAATGTGTCCCACCATCAAGGGTCCCACCCCTGATCTTCAGGTTCTTAGTTTCTGGTCCCTAAGCAACCACTGTGACCATTTTCTAGTTGTCTTCTAGGGAAAATCTATGCATACACAAGTATATGTAGACTCTTTTAAAATACAAATAGCAATACATATTGTGCACTGTTCTACCCTTTATTTTTCATTTTCTTCTCGGTTTTATTGATATATAATTGACATACATCACTGTATAAGTTTAAGTGAACAGCACAATGATTTTCCTTATATATATTGTGGGATGAGTATTGCTATAATTTTAGGTGGCATGCATCATCTCATATAGACACAATAAAAAGAGAAAGCAAAAAAAGAAAAAAAAGTATTTTTTCCTTTCATTGCTAAATTCCTACACACAAAGAACATACATGTAAGGTAGAAGGAGTAGTAAAACCAACACCCATGAACCCCTTACCAGCACCCTTACAGCCCCCTGGACCCCTCCCTGCCACCCTCACTTCCTCCCCACTCTCTCGAGGTAACCGCTCTCCCGCATTTTGTCTGTAGTTCCCTTGCTTTTCTATAATGTTTTAGCCTGTGTGTGTGTATTGTTTCAGTTTACACCTTTATGTATCAGTTCTTCAGTAACCTTTTTCCTTCATCTTTTGTAAGGTTTATTTGTGTTGATACATTTTCACCACTGAATACTATTCCATTTTATGGCTAAAACAAAATGGCATGTTTTTCTCAATCAATTCTATTGATTGAGACATTGCACATTGCATTGTGCACCTAATATGTCATACAGATCATTTCCTCTCAGTAGGTACATATATTATTACATCTTAGAAATGCTTTTTTATTCTCTAATAGGCAATGAATTTACCTGGTTCAAAATTCAAAAAGTATAAAGGAGCGAATAGTAAATAGTGTCCTTCTCACCAGGAGCCCATGAGGCACTGTTGTTTCCATTGTGTGTGTGCATCTGGAGATCAGGACCCTGCACAATGTATGGGCATGTCTGTGGGTGAAATTCTTAAGTGTAACATTGCTGGGTTTAAAATTTACACACATATCGCCAAATTACAGACCTGTCTTTAAAAAGGAATGGAACTGAAGACAGTGGTGCCATTAACAGCTTTGAAAGTGTGTCCTGGGGACAGCGATGGTTGTGATCTTTGGTGTGGTTTGATCAGTTGTAGAGCTACGAGAAGCTCCCAGAAATACTGAACTAGCTGCAACTTCTTTCTTTTTTGGATTTTTGGCTCCTTTTTATGTCTCTGTTTCTTTAGATCACGTTCAGGCGGCCATTGCCCAACTGGACCTGTTAGGTGCTCTTGAACATAAGGATGACCAGCTTACCCTGACTCCAATTGGAAGAAAGATGGCAGCATTTCCTTTAGAACCCAAATTTGCCAAAGTAAATGATACCCTCCCCAAAGCCCCCTTTCTGTACAATAGAGGTTAGCCATCCCAAAGTAGGCTCCTAAACCCAGTGCTGCTAGATTAATTTTCACTTTTTCTCCTAAATAGTTATCAACCCCTACTTTGTGTCTAATACTGACTTCTCTTCTATGTGGTATTCAAACTCAATTAAGTCATGAGCCCTACCCACAGGCAATTTGGAATCCTTCGGGGAAGGCAGTCATCTGTTTTACAAAAAAGTAAAGTAACACATTGTTGTGGTTTTAGAAACACCTGCCCTTTAAACACCTTAGAAGGGAAGCTGCAAGAGCAATATACAGAAATCGGAAGAATCTTTTACACAGTATTAAATTTTGATTTGCAGACCATCCTCCTGTCCCCCAAATTCCACTGTACAGAGGAGATACTGACCATTGTCTCCCTGCTGTCTGTGGACAGTGTTCTCTACAACCCTCCCTCCCGGCGGGATGAGGTGCAGGGTGTCCGGAAGAAGTTCATATCCAGCGAGGGCGACCACATTACCCTGCTCAATATCTACCGGACCTTCAAAAACGTAGGAGGAAATAAGGTGAGCCTTATCTCATTCCTTTTCTCAAATGCGATCTCCCTTTGGTCATGTGCTTTAAGTGGAACTTCTTTTTTGGTTGAATCATCTAAAGAGCCACATTAGAATGCCAGATGATGCCAGATGTCATTTCAGAAACATCTGCATTTAGGCACAGTCCCAGGGAGGAAATGTAATTCCTGCCTTTCTCTCTGCTTGTGTTTAACTCGTACTTAATGTGAACAAGTTAGTTATTTAGTTACCCACATTCTTAGCTACCAAATTGATTTTTTTCCCCACCTACCCCTAACTTTCTTTGTAGTAGATTTTGTTTGTATGATATTTCAGTTCCTTGGACCAAGATGGAAAATGACAATATATTGTCTCATTTATCAATTCAACCAGTAATTGTGCCATAGTATACATGCTTTAACTTTGTCTGCTTTTTAATATAAATTGTCTTTTAAGAAAAAAAAACAGCCACCATCCACTTTTAGCAGTTGTGAACGTTTTGCTATATTTGCCTCAATTTATTTTTAAGGAAATAAAATGCGATAGATTTTATATTGCAACAGCCCTGCTCTGCTCCTTTCCTAGTCCTTTCTCCCTATGTAACCACCGTCCTGAAGCTGGAGTGTGTTCTCGTGGGTGACAGCATACTTTCACTTCATATCTGTGAACGTCATATACTATAAATGTTTTCTTACACTACCCTTTTGCAGCTTGTTTCCGCTTCCAGCCGCACAGTGAACATCTACAGGTCTTGTGCACACTGGGGAGAGTTTCTCTGGGGCCAACACCCAGGAATGGGCCTGCTGGTCTTGGAGTAGCAGCATCCAGCCTTACCAGGCTGGTATGTGTCTCCCCAAGGTTGTCAGTACCGCTTCGTACTCCCCGTAGTAATGTATAAGAGTTTCCTTTTCCACCAGCCTCTCCAGTAGTTGAATTCACTTTAATTTTTGCCAAGCTGGTGGATGTGAAATAGTATCTCAGCTATTTAAACTACTTTGCCTCGATTCCTCGCAAGGCTGAGAATCCTTATATAAGTTTATTGGTTACTGGTCATTTCTAGTTAATCTTCTGCGAGTTGTCTGTTCATATCCTCTGTTCATTTTCTACTGGATTGTTGGTCTTTTTCTTATTGATTTGTAGTAGTTTTTAAAAATGTATTCTGGGAGTACTTACCCTTACTGGGTGTAGTGATGCAAACATCTCAGTCTGTAGCTTTCTTCATGGTGACATAAAACTAAATTTTTAGTTTAGTTTAAATTATTAATATTTTTTCCTTACGGTTCATGCTTCTTGATGTAAAGATATTTTCTTGTATTTGTTTTCGGCAACTGAAGTTTTCCAGCCAACTTCAACTATGTTCTAAAAATGATATTATTTTCCCTGTAGAAATGAGAGGATTGTGATATCTCTTTTTCTCCTGTTCAGGACTGGTGCAAAGAGAATTTTGTGAACAGCAAAAATATGATGCTAGTAGCTGAAGTCAGAGCACAGCTGAGGGATATCTGCTTAAAGGTATTCTTTCTTCCTGGTTGTTCTTTGGGAGCTGTCACTCTTTTCTAGATAAAAAAATTATAATTACTTATTGCTAGTGATTACAAAAGAAGCTCTTGTTTTAGGGAAATTTTAAACTAAGGAAGAAAGTTAAAAATTACCAACAATTACACCTCTCACCATTTTGGTCTATTTCCTCATAGTAATAACTGTGTAAAATATACTTATTTTAGAAAGCTATATAAATTGTAGATATAATTTATATTCAGCTTCTGTAAACTTTAAAAGTATTGTCCAATATTGTTAGGATTCTTCCTAAGATTCTTTTTAGTAGGACTATCTTTATTTTTTTTTCAGATTACAAAAACAGTGCATAATTGTTACAAATTGATACAATGCAGAAAATAGTACAGTATAACGTAGAAAGTTTCAAAGTCTCCATAATCCTGCCCCTCCAAAGATAAGCCACTGTTAACAATCTGGTGTAGATCCTTCTAAAATGTTTTCCTGTGTGTGTGTGTGTGTGTGTGTGTGTGTGTGTGTGTGTGTGTGTGTATACACACATAAAATTTTCTTTTTAAAACAAATATGATATACATTTTGTTTTGCAACTTACTTTTTTCCACTTGGTAGACTTCTTGAATACTTAATGTGCCTGGGCTGTCTTTCAGTGTCTGTCTGTGTCTTTCTTAATCTTTTTAGTGACTTTATAGCATTTCATTGTATCCACTACATTTTACCTAACCAGGACCCTAATGGTGGTTATTTAGATTATATCATAATGACCATCCTCTTACATGTATGTTTGTGGACGGTGAATTTAGCTCTTGATAGTTATTTCCAAATCATCTACCAGTAAGTTTCCTATTAGCTTATATTCCCTCTTTGAGTACATCATGTTTTGAAGTCCTGTCAGGTATCTATTTAATGATTGTATGACACTCCACGTTTTACCTCAGAGATGTGTGTGTGTGTGGGGGGGCACTTTTTGCTGTCACAACAATCCTGTGGTGTCTGTGCCTCAGGCCTCTTCTGAGACAGCCCCCTCACTGCAGACATCTGCACGTCCCTAGGAGAGAGCTGCTGCCTATATTTAGCCTGTTGTTAATACTAAAGCGATTTCTTTTCATAGTAGCCTGTTGTGTTCTGAATTTTACACGTTTCGCCAAACCCCTCTTGCACTTGAACAGTTTTCCTACTGGACCACCTCTTGGCTTCATGAGTTTTCTCAGTTTATGAATGACAGTAGAAATGGTGTTTCTCTATTAGCTCTGACTTAACTTAGGAAGCTTTAGTGAGAGGCTGACCACACCTCTCTCTGTATGCCAGACACTGGTCAAGGTCCTGGCGTTTTACAGATCTGCCGAAGGCTAGGTATCTTAAGGAACAATCCAGAGGGCAATCTGACATATACTATATACGAATAACTCATGGGAGAAGCCAGTAATAATGATAATAATCACATTTGTTTATGAAATACTTAAGGCACCATTCTAAACACTTTTCATGTGCTGTCTGATTTGAAATCCTCACTTTACCCCTATAAGGTTGATTCTGCTATTATTCCCATTTTCAGATGAAACTAGAGCCTAAGGAAGTTAAGTAATTTGTCCCAAATCACACAGCCAGGGAGGGTGGAGCTGGCAGCCTGGAAGGAGAGACCACCACTTAGCTGTAGGACTCTGGGTTTCCTGCAGGTGGTGATACTGAGTCACCTCCTGACAGATGAGGCGATAGTGTCGTCATCAAAGAACAAAATCCCCTGAGCCACCTTAGAGGGCAAAGGGGGAGGAGGATGAAGAGGTGTCTCTGGGGACCTATGGGCAGGAAATAGGCCAGCCTTCAGGGACTGGAATGAGGAACCAGAGGAGGCTGTCAGGAGCCAGGGCAGCTTTCTCTGGGCCTGCGTGGCCTCTAATTTCGGCTGCTCTTGGCACACCTCCTTCCCCCTTCTTGCCTTCTGTCTCAGACTGCCTACCGCGGCCTCTCGCTCAGGAGACTAACAGGGCCTGGTCAGAATTGCCATGTTCAGATTCTAAATGCCTGGAAGAGAGAAGCTCGCCCAGCGTGGGTCCGGCAAGTGTCTGCCATTGGTCAGTTCAGCTGTGGCCTGGGGTGCAAGGTGATGTGACCCGCTCAGCAAGGGGGTGGAGCCAGGAGACTGGCTGATGACTGACACTTCCACTGCGGAGCTAAGGGGCGTCTGTCTCAGGAGTGCGCCGGTGAAGGCACCCTCATGCCTGGGGAAGAGGAGGCAGCTGATTTTGGAGGACCTCAGGATGTTCAGAAGGGCTCATTCACAGCTTCACAGTTGGAAGCTTGCCTAGCTTTGCCAGAGCAGCAGAGACACTGAAGGTTTTTGAGTGGATGAAGAATGGCTCGAGTTGCACGACAGGAAGATTAATTTGGCGGCAGTGTGTGAGATGGATTGGAGTGAGGAGATGATGAAGGATGTAGTCAGAGGGAAGGGCCTTTCCTTCCTGGGGCGTCCTGGTAGGCATTTCCATGAGGGGCTGGGGGCTGGCTCACCTAACCTGTCTGTGGTCTGGCACCTTATATGCCTGTCTCCCTGTTGGTCCTTACTCTCCCAGGCTGCAGTTTTCCTATTTTCAGTCCACTCTCCTTCAGCTGGGCCACTCCTCACCCATGCTGATTGCTGAGGCATTTGAGGAAACCACTTCCCAGTGGCAATATCCACTTTGTTAGGCTTGCAGTATGGACAGCATTTTAGCTACACATGTTCCAAATACTGTGCAGTGCTGAGCAGTATTTATGTTTGGGGTCTTTTCCATCTCTTGCTTCCTCCTGAAACAGATGTCAATGCCGATCCTGTCATGCCGAGGAGACATGGAGAGTGTCCGCCGCTGCCTGGCTCATAGCCTCTTCATGAGCACCGCTGAGCTGCAGCTAGACGGCACCTATGCCACCACGGACACCCACCAGCCGGTGGCCATCCACCCCTCGTCGGTCCTCTTCCACTGTAAGCCAGCCTGCGTCGTGTACACGGAGCTGCTGCGCACCAACAAGTGCTACATGCGAGACCTCTGCGTGGTAGATGCCCAGTGGCTATGTGAGGCCGCCCCCGAGTATTTCCGCAGGAAGCTGAGAACCGCCAGAAACTGAGCCCCCCGGGCCGCTGCCAATGCTGCCGGGGCCTGAGAGCTGGGACTGCAGCCATCCTCGCAGCAGACTTCCAGCTCGCCCTCTAGAGAAGTGATTGGTTTTAATGCAGCGGAATATGCCCGACCCCAGGAGCTTGCAGGCATCTTTGCTTAACCTCCTAGGACTGAACCGTGTAGACATCTACCTACCATTTATACCTTTGAGATGTCAGAGCTATGCTTTCAGTTCTTGCTGGGTGACCTAGTTAACTTCTGAGCCTCCATTGCCTCATCTGCCAAGTGGGGGTTATAATAATACTTATAGGGTTGGTGTCATGAGGTTTAGAGAAAACGAAAGTACCCAGAGCTGTGCCTGGCGCACAGTGAACATATGATGAATCATGAGCGTGATATTACCGCTTTTTACTTAATGTGAATTGAGTACAACACAATCCCCTGAGTTCTCGTGACTAAGGGGCACTTTCTGGAAGGGGACCATAGGAGGTCGCAGAGCTCTGATGGTCTCCTTGGATCTATTTTAACAGTTATATGAAGTTTTTAAGTAGAAAACGTAAGAGATTGACATCTGTAGAAATTTCAGGAGGGAGGGGCTGTTGTCTCTTACCTCGTGGGCTGGCCGCCCCTACTGAAGCTCCTCGCCAGGGTGGACTCTTCCTGCCTCCAAACAGAACAGGAAAGGAGCGCTCGCAGGCTGCTGAGCTGTGCCCTTTTGTCCTGGGTGCCTCTGTGGCACATACCCCATCCATGCTTTCAGGAGACATGGACGTTTCCTGGGTGAAGGTTGATTTGTATTTTTTGAATCGTGATGACTTCGAGCATAGCCAGTTGCCATTTTCCTCCATAACTGGGCCCATATAAATATGTGAGCATAAGGAATGACTCTGTGCTGTACGTCAACCATTCCTTTTCTGTCGGGGCCCCTGGTCAGAGAGCTGTTGGGGTGGGTGGAGGAGAGAGACAAATGGTCGGGGAGAACCCAGACAGCATTGGCTTGCCCCATCCACCTCATCTGTGGTTTATATCCTTGCATCTTATTTATTTTCTATTATCTTTTCCTTCTTTGGGACTTGGGGACAACCTGCTTTTGCTACTGCCTAACTGTGTCAGTCATTCCTCTCTAACCCTCAGTTTCTGCATTTCTCAGAGGGAATTAGAAGGTCTCCACAGTCTCTTCCTGTTCTCATATTTTGAGAAAGGAAAAGACACTAAAGGTTCTTCTTGGCTGTTTAATTATCAAATGCAAATGATTTTTCCCTAGATAATGTTTTGCCCTAGGAGAATCCAAGACTTAGCCCTTTTATTGTGCTTAATTGGTCTAAACACACATGTGCAGTATTTTGGTCATTATTTAAAGTGAATCATACAGTCTGTAGGCAGGCCAAACTGTCTGAGAGACTCTTCAGAGACAGTGGATGGTCTTTTCACTCTGGATCCAGTGAACTCTTCTCTGAGACCATAGCCAGCTGGAGCGCCCCATTCTGGGTCCCATCTGTTCATGCTTGTGAATGTTAAGTCTGGCTCAGGCTCTTGAGCACTAGCCATGGCCCTGAGAAGTTAAGCTTTTATCTGGTGTTCAGGGCTGTATGGGCACTTGTGATTTAATTCTGTTAGAAATAGTTACGTTTGGGCCAAATAGGATTCGACAGATCCTATATACTCTGTCTTATTGAATACTTAGACTTAGCTGGCTGTTCCTCAGATTGACTTGTTTTTACTGTTGTAAAAGGTTTTTGTTTGTTTGTTTGTTTGTTTTGGCTGAGCCATCCTGCCACCTGTTGGCATCTTAGCGGCAGCTCAGCTCGGACCAAGACTCGAACCGCTGTTGCTCAGAGTTCAAACTTTTGAGCAAGCTCTTAACCAACTGAGCCACTCTGCCGGCCCTTGTAAAAGGTTTTTAAAGTGTATTTTTCTCATTTATTTAATAGAGGCCTAGGATATTTAGCCTGACTGGCTAAAAGAAAATATTATATTTTTAATAAAACATTCATCATGCTGGTAAAAAAATAGGGGAGTGGGGTGATTTATCATGTTCCTCAGCAAATTCTCTATCGAGAGGTGTATATACTCTGGGGCAAGTAAAACTTGGAATAATTTGTGTCCAATTTAAGTACCTAAAGATTTTCTGGAAATATAAATTCTGAGCAGGAATAGGGATAAATAACTTCTAAGTAAATATAAATAGCTTCTAAGTAGCTTTAATGTTTCTGTATAGAAATATGTTTATCACTGTAACATTCTGGTAGAGTTTTAATACAGTAGTTTTTTATTGGGCTTTTTAAAAAGTTAATTTTTAACATAGCTGCTCAGGGATTAAATCAGATTAGAAAACCCATTCTGACTCCACAAATTACTACAAAGAAATAAATGGTTATTTATATTGAGCTGCAGGGGACAGTACATTTTAAACTTAAACTTTCTTAAGAAAGTTAAATGTTTCACAATGATGTTGCAGTATAATCTCTAGCTACTCTTTTTCCATTGGTCTAATCTTTGATGGTGTAACACCTCTGTTCCAACCTGTGAAACCCATATCTGGGCGAATCACTAGATGCACTTCAAGCAGCTCGCATGCCTCAGGTGTCTGTCTATTTCTAGTAATCATGGAGCGGAACATCCAGAGCAATGCAGATTTCTTTACAGGGGAAGAACTGCCAACAGCTGGCCCTCGTTAAGAACCCTTACTTAATGTGGCATCTCTGCTGGTTGTAAACAGATGCCAGAATGGAGACAAGGTTTTGCTCTGTGGGTAAAACTTTTTATGTATCATGATACATAAATCCGTTTAATCCAGCTATCAAGAACTGCTTGGAATCGTGGCCAGGCCATCTACAATGCATTCCTTGAGTTTCTATAAGGGAACATTGCACCCGTGGGGAAGCAAGGATTTGATTATATTTTATTTGATCAGAATATTATAACTTGCAGAAAAAAGAAACCAGAAAAATCAAATTGATTCAGGTTTATGTTGTATTTTGAGAATCTGGTCTTGTTCAAATAGATACAGCTCTATAAAAACATCAGTTCTTGTATATAAATGCTTAAATTTGCACATGACTGTTACATCCATTAAAAATGAATCTTGTACATGTGTATGGCTTCTATCTTGAGTCTCCTTTTCCTTATTTACAGAATGCTGTTTAGACTATATTATTAATCTTAACTTTGCACTAATGGTGAAGACTTACTTTCTTAGTACCATATATATCCTGTGTGTCCTGGTAGATAGGGACATCGGTTCTTAACCTAAATCTGATGTAAGCCATGGTTTCTCGCACCCAAAAAAATGATGTCCCATCAGAACCTGAGAGCAAGGTAGGAGGATATGGAGAGGGAAGGTCGCAGGAATTGCCCTTCAGGATCTCCCAGTCTGATTGGGGTGAGGGGAGGCTGCCAGGTAAATCAGCAATGCAGGAGGTTTCTCCAGAGAGAAGAGTGAAGCGTAGCGGCGGGGGATGCGCCGCGTGAGTTCCTATCTTTCATGGAAGAGCGGAGGTTACAGGAAGGGATCTTTAAAGGAGATGACCTTAAAGGCTAGTCTTTTAAGTTGTTGGGGGAGGCAAGACTGCGGTCTACGAAGTCAGCCTGGCGTGTTTTCAGAACAGTAGATGAAAATTTAGAGAGTGTCAGCAGGCACTGGAGAGAATTGATGCTGGCGAATTAAACACAAAGCCTCGCACATCCGACTCAGGCCGGCTGACTCAGCTAAAAAGTTCAGTTACCGGATTGGAAACCTCCCCGGGAGGCTGCGCAGGAGCGCGGCCCCCCCCCCCCATCTCCCTCCCACCAGAGGGCGCGGTCCTACCCATCGTGCCTTTGACCTGCAAAGCGATGCTGCGGAAGCGCTTCCTAGGTGGAGGCGGGACTTCCGGCGGTGAGCTCAGTCAGGTTACGCCTTGGCCCAAGTTGTCCTCATCCGCACGTGTCCGCTGCAGCCTTCGCGATGCTACCTCTGCTGCGCTGCGTGCCCCGAGCCTTGGGCTCCGCGGTCGCCGGCCTCCGCGCTGCCGCGCCCTTCCCGCCGCTCAGGCCACTGCTGCAGCCCGCGCCCCGGCCGTGCGCCCGGCCCTTTGGGTTCCTCAGCGTGCGCTCGGGATCTGCGCGACTACCCAGCCTCCTGCGGCCTCGCAGACCCTGCTCCTGCGGCTGCGGCGCGCTGCACACGGAAGGTGAGTTCGCGCACGTGCGCGGGGGCCGTGAGGGGCAGATTCCCGAATGGGATGGGGGGCCGGGAAGTGTAGACCACGGGTAGGCGGCCCAGAGCTGCCCCGCGAGGTCCGAAACATTTTCCCAGTGATTGGCAACCGGAGGGTGAAACCCACGTGTGATCACATTTCCCCTTTTCCCCTATCCGCAAAGTGTTTCATTTTAGGGTGAGATATTCAGTTAAATCCTGGAAACCGACTTTAAGCTTAGTCTCTCGAAAATGGAACTTAGGGATGTCCCAAGATTGTGGTTGAAAGTAGCGTGGTTATGTCTTTTGGCAAGTGGGAGAGGGTAATTGGGAACTCATTTGCTTTATGTGAACCGTGCTAATGAGTTCATTGTTGTAAATCACTTTTCCAGAATAGAGCTCAGCTTCCCACTGACAGTATTACAGCATTTTTACAGAGAAGGAAACAGGCTTAATGGATATGAGTTGGACTAAGTTCCCAGAGAATGGTTATTAACAGTCCAAGTCCAGATTTCTGGCTAGAGTAACCTGGGTCATTTGTAAGTTTTAAACTGATGGGCTTTTCTTTTTCCATATCTTACGGATTTTCATTGTAGGAGACAAAGCTTTTGTTGAATTCCTGAGTGATGAAATTAAGGAGGAAAAGAAGATACAGAAGCATAAGTCCCTCCCCAAGATGTCTGGAGGTTGGGAGCTGGAAGTGAATGGGACAGAAGCCAAATTAGTACGGAATGTTGCTGGAGAAAAGTAAGTACTGTGGCCTCTGGGGAGCCTAAACCCATGATGACCCTGGCCCAGGTCATCCCCAGAACAGCTAGAGTTAAGGCGCGTACATTTTTTTTTTTAATATTTTTTATTGGGGAATTGGGGGATGGGAACAGCGCTGGGGAATTGGGGGAAGGGGAACAGACAAGTTGCTGTCCTTTTGTTCTTCAGTCTAGTTGTGGAAGATGTTGTTTCACTGGCCCATGCTGGCACCATCATCGCACTCTTCCCAGGCGAGGCAGATCAGTCGCAGGCTTCTGGACGGCAGCTCACTGCGGCTGCTGGCTGCTCACGCTGGCTGCTGGCTACACACGGTAGCCCATGGCAACCCACTGCCACAGGGGCTGCTGCCTACACTGTTGCCTCAGGGCAGCCCAGCTCCAGGCTGAGCTGTGGCAGGTACCTTGATACATAGTTTCCAAGAGACAGAAAGATTCATTCGGATAATTCTGTAAGTTCCTGGTAGTTCCTTCACTGCACACACATTTCCTGTGGGCAGGTCACTAAGGAGATGGTAAGGAAATAGCACAAAAGTATATAGCCGTAAGTTTATTGAACCAGTAGAAACACTCATTCAATAAACCCCTACTGGTGATGGAGGCCATGCCCTGCCTCTGGGCATGCAAATTCAGAAATTCTTACAGTAATGATAGCATCAGTTTGATCTCAGGTTTACAGTGCTTGACTCACTACACTACAGGCTCTGAGTAAAACAAGGCCCCTGTTCCCTAATGTTTACAGTAAGCGAAAATGCAAGACATGCAACTCTTCTAGAACAGGATGAGATTACATTGTAGTAAATGGTTGCCATTAGAAAGGAGGGGAGGGCCAGCCGAGTGGCACATTGGTTAAGAGTTGGCTTGGGACGGCGGCTCTGAGCAGCAGGGCCCCTGTTCAGATCCCACATGAGGGCCAGTGACACTGCCCTCCACAGCTAAGATGGTGAACAACAGCTCGACCTGGGGCTGGGCTGCCATGAGTCGCTGGCGATGGGATAGGCTGCAGTGGGGCTGGCCGGCAGCTGGCATGTGCTTTTGTGAGCCGCCATGAGAGGCCATTCAATGGCTGGCAAGTACTGCCTCACACGGGAAGAGCACAATGATCATACCAACTTGGGCCAGTGAAGCGAAGTCCTCCACAACTAGACTGAAGAACAAAAAGAACAGCAACTTGTCTGTTCCCCTCCCCCAATTCCCCAATAAAATCTTTAAAAATAAAAAAAGAAAGGTGGGGAGCTTTTGACCAAGCTCATCTGTTTTTATGATCCATTTTGAGTGGACTTTTGTATATGTTTTTGAAGTAGGGTTCTGATTTTTTTTTTTTTTTTGCCTAGTGGTGTAGTGTGTTTTTTCCCACCTATACGAGTAGGTCAGTTCTGTAATTTCACCTAAACCGTTTTCCTAGGGTGAGTCATAGCCAGTTTGGGGCCATTACAGATCATGTAGGAGCTCAACTTGGTCATCACTGTTGCATATCAGACCGTTCGGGGCTGAACCTGACCACCACTGTTCTATGGGAAAGTGGCTTCCTGGGAAGGCAGCCAGTTAGCACAGCTCCAGGGGGCACAAGTTTACAGTGTGCTGTTGTATATACATCGTGCCTGTTGGAGTTGGGCAGCCCAGCAGTGTTTGTTTCAAATCTCACATCACTTTTAATTTCAACTCAAAACTTTGGAACATGATTTGTCGGGTCAATTCTTATACCTTGGAATTGTCATTAGTTGGTTGTTTCTGGCCTGATTTGTGATTATAAAACTTCCCACGAGTGCTCTGAAGAATGACTCTGTACTGCAGCATAATGTTCTGTGTGAGGCTTCCCCTTCCTGGGGCCAGGGCTGCCCTTTGTCCTCAGCTGATGCAACCCTCCAGTGCTCCTTCCTTTCCTCCGAGGGGCAGATTTTCTGATGGAGAAAAGCTTTTTAAAAGAGACCGTTATTCCATCCCACCAGCTTCTCAGCTGCTCACTGTCACTGGAAGATGCCCTGGAAGGACCACGGTGAGCAATGTCAGCTGGCTGTGGCCATGAGATGACCAATGGACACAACGATGTCAGTGAGCCCTGGGATGCTGGCCTGGTCACACGTGGCTCTTTTTGGCTGAGATAAACTGGGGCCTGTTAGTTTGACTTCCAGCAGCTGGCACATAATAGGCACACTTGAGACCTGCTGAATCCGTCTTAGGTGGGATGTAGGCACTCAGGCTTTTCTGGAATACCTGTAAATAATTCAGATGTAAAGACAGCTGGGGTAGAGACATTGTTTCAGTACACATTTTTAACTTTAGCAGGTTTTAATATTTAAATTGAACTACTCAGTTAAAACTACCCTGTCCAGATGAGGGGCGGGGGGCGTGGAGGGGCTGGGTGAAAAAGGTGAAGGGATTAAGAAGTATTATTCAAATCAGCAGTTACAAAATAGTCACAGGGACGTAAATAGTCACAGCATAGCGTATATAGCCAATATTGTAATAACTATGTATGGTGCCAGGTGGGTACTAGACTTATGGGGGAGTCACTTCGTAAATTACATCAATGTCTAACCATGCTGTAAACCTGAAACTAACATATTGAATGTCAACTATAATTGAAAAAACAGAAAAAAGGAACTATTTCCTGTCTGTTGTGTTTTCTTTTGCCTTTCTAGGATCACTGTCACGTTCAACATTAACAATAGTATCCCACCAACATATGATGGGGAGGAGGAGTCCTCCCAAGGGCAGAAGGCTGAAGAACAGGAGGTAAGCTTGTAACCCTGTAACCAGCCTTTACCTCAGAGTTCTGACAGGCCATTCCAGGGGCTTAGAGGAGCGCTGTTTTTGTTTAACTTCTCTAATGCAAGGAGGAGAGAATGCAAAGGACAACCATCCTTGGGACTTTTAATTACAGAGCAGCCGTTTTTGGGTACCTTTAGCACTAGGAATAATGTATGGTCCCTTTTCTTTGCCAGGGACTGAGTAAATTACCATCTGCAAGCTTAGGCTTTATAGTTTGGCCTGTGTCCTCCTAATGGAAAGGAGTTGACACTGTCTAAACCCCTCCATGATGGGAAGGTGTTTGATAATCAGAGATTATCATTTGGAGTGTTTCCAAATGAGTAATGTTCTAACATGTCACAGGCTGGTAATAAACACCAGCCACTTAACCAGAGTAGCAAAGCCAGGAGCATCACAGATTTAAGAGATTTTGGCAACACCTTTCCTTATGTTGCTGGCCCTGTTGGTTGGACCTGGATGGTGGCCAGACTTCAAACATTTTAGGAAGTGGTGTGTCTGGCCTAGAAAACAGCTGGAATGAGGGCCACAGGGTCCCCCGACTTTCTGACTAAGCAGGCATCTGTGTTGTCTCATGAACTAGCACAGTTCCCTGGTGTGCTGCTGTCTTAGCCACCCCAACTAGGATCACTTTGACATTGGATGGCTCACCATCAAAGAGCGAGTAGCTGTGATTTTCATACACAGGACTGCCAGTTAGCCAGATGCACCGGCCTTTGGTCCTGGGCCATAGGAAGATCCTGAAATAGTCAGTTGGAAAGAGATCTTGGAGCTTTAGGCCAGCTTTGCAGTTTATGGATCGAGAAACAGACCCAGGAAGATTAAGGAATGATCGAGATCTCAGTTAATTGACACATAGCTGGGGCGGGAATTCAGATTTCTTAATTCTAAACCCAGTATGTTCTTTAGGGTGCTGACAGAAGTGACTGTTCTAAATATAGGATGCTCTGCCCTCTAAAACATAGTCTTTAGAGGATCAATAGGAAAAGTTCATCCCAGTCTCCTGAATGAGCTGGTATGTGGCTTTAAAACTCTGTGTTAGAGTCTAGGCTTCTTATTTAGAAACACTGTAGCATAAGACTAAAAATGGCTACATAATATCCTGATAATGGTGGCTGCCAAATCACCTAAATTGTCTGAGACCTTTGATCCAGGCAACCAGCCTTTCCCTACCAACAACGGCATATGCTGACTTGTTCTTGTTTCCCCAGCCTGAATTGACATCCACTCCCAATTTCGTGGTTGAAGTTATAAAGAGTGGTGGCAAGAAGGCCCTTGTGCTGGACTGTCACTATCCAGAAGATGAGGTTTGTAGGATGGAGTCCCAACACCTTGGCATCCCTGGGGACAAGGAGGGCCTCCAGAAACCTTACTGGTTCCTTTTCTAGCTTAGACCAGCAAAGCGGGGGAGGAGAGGTATGGGGGATCAGGGAGCAAGATTAAAACCTGGTTAGTTTCAACCTGTAAATAGTCCCTCTTCTTTGCTTGAGTCTGGCTTGTCCTGGAAAACCCTTCAGTTTCCCAACTACTGTCTCCTTAGGTTGGACAAGAAGAAGAGGGCGAGAGTGACATTTTCTCCATCAGGGAAGTGAGCTTTCAGTCCACGGGCGAGTCGGAATGGAAGGACACAAATTACACACTCAACACAGATTCCCTAGACTGGGTGAGTGCTTGATAAAATTGGGTGTTCATGGGCCCTGCGGGGGAGGCTCCTAGTCCAAGGAGAGACCAAGAAGCATTTTAATTAGTAAATATTATAGATGAAGTCTTTTTTTTTTTTAAGTAATAAATGTTTCTCCTATAGGCCTTATACGACCACTTAATGGATTTCCTTGCGGACCGAGGGGTGGACAACACTTTTGCGGATGAGTTGGTGGAGCTCAGCACAGCCCTGGAGCACCAGGAGTACATTACTTTTCTCGAAGACCTCAGAGGTTTTGTCAAGAGCCAGTAGAACAGACAAGACGCTGAATACCTTAACTTGACGGCAGGCTTTGGCCAGTGAACAAAACCTACTCTGAGGCCAGACACGTGCGTTGAAATGGTTTTCCTCCTAATCATGGAAAATAATTCAAATTTAAATTATTTCTCTTGCCCTCTTATTAACTATTCATTTATTTCTTCTCTACAAATCTATTATTTCTAGTTTTTTGTATATCATCATGATGGACAATAAAGTTGGTTTATCTCCTCTAAGGTGATTTGTCTTTTCTGTTTCTATTCCTTCCTCTTCAACCTGCATTACAAAACACCAGAGCAGAGACATTTAAAAAGTTTTAATACAAAATAAATTATAAATGAAAAGTTTATATTTACAAGGCCCCTTCTCAGATGGAATGAATTGTTTCCAATCCAGTAGAACAAAGAGAGTAAAGGCTGGCTTTAGATGATCACAGCCCAAGTATCACAAGCCTGGATTTAAATAGAAAACAGTTTATATTTTATCTCAAAATACGGTTAAAAGTTGTAATCAGTAATGACATCCTGCAAATAGAATTCCTACATATAAGATGGTGCTGAGTTAAGTTACAATTACGAAATAGGTGGTGTGGTTGTCAGAGGTCAGTGATAAGCCCTGTCCAGGCTTTGCTGGACATAGTCCTGTGGTCTCAGAACTGCCTTTGAAACCATCAGGGGACTTAGAGGCTAGCCCTTGATCCTCTGTGAATATTCTTGCTGAAGAGACAAGCCTGATTCTGCCCTGCTATGCTTCCTGTTCTGTATACTTTTAAAAACTGGTACCAGGATGGCCTATTTGGGTCTTATGAATATGAAATAATCAGCTTCATCTAAGACCACTACTGCCAATCAAACAAGAGTAGGCAGCGAAGCCAGGCTTCCTAATTACCAATGCACTTTGCATGATCCTGTGCTGCCTCTGTCCCTTTTCCTTTCAGGGAACGATTGGCCTTTTAGTTGAACTGACTGACTCATTACCCTTACTTTTCTATTCAAGTAAACTCAGAGACGAAACTGCATTTTTAAACATTTACCTGTTTCCAAGCTATTATTTCTACCAGGGCGGGAAAACCAAACACTGACCTGCTCTTACCATGGGGTCCCATGAGAGGCTTACCAGACAGCTCATGAGAAGGCTGGACTTTTCTTCTGTCCCTTCAGTGACTGAAAATTCAGGTGTGTGGGGACAGTGTGCACTGTGCTCATTCACACTGGCTTCTAACAAAGCACGGAGTTGCTGCTCTGTCAACTCTGGAGACTAAAAAATAAAAAAGTTAAACTACAACCTAATATTAGTTAACCTCATAAGTCAACAGGTTCAAAATCCTGATTCCTCATGATAACCAATATAACTATAGCTCAATGTGACGGCTTGATTCCTGGGACCTTTAAAAATGCTCTTGGCTCATGACTATACTAAAAAGATCTCTTAACCAATCTTCATCTAACCGCCTCTCCAGTATAACCAATGCTCTTCCCTCCTGCTACAGAACACACTGCCACTTGCAGCACTGGGAGCACTCAGAGCCTCCTCCCTCATGCTTCTGCCTCCACCAGACAAACGGATCCCTATCAAGAGCCAGCAGTGCCTGGTTCAGATCTGTTTGTGCTAACTGAACTTGCTACTGTAATTGAGAGTAATTTAATTATGTAAACCAACAAAATAAGAGATGAAAATAAAATTTTCTTTTTTGTGTGATACTAAGTGGGATGTTTAGGAAACACTAAAAAAGATGAGTTGCTTAAAAAAAAGTTTAAAAAATTCTTCAAAATGTTGAATTAGGTACAAGATAGGGAGGAAAGATCCTAAAGTTGTGTATTCAGCTTCTTGATACACTACAGAAACAAAACTGGAAATCCAGGCTCCACATTGTAAAAGTGGTTTATGTAAAAAAGACTCAGCTCTCCAATGAGCAGGGCCCCACTCAAGGACTGGCAAATTTATGTTTGAAACTTAGTATACAATGTTTCATTTTTCTAACTCGCCACTTTAACCAAGTGACAAACTTTCAGTCCCCATCATGTCAGATAAGAGGGCTCCTGTATTTTAAGATCACTGAAGCTTCAATTCTGAACATAGGTGTGTATTCATATATGGAAAATTTTTATGAACAATCAGATACAAGTGTTTCGAATTCTAAACTGGGCTCTCTATAAAGGTCTTCAGCAGTGGTACAGTAATAAGTGTTTAACAAATGGCTCTGGGGAACAGGCAGGGAACACCCTGATTTGTGGTGCTTGCTAATTTCCATGCTGTATTCTTGTATATTCTCACCATGGCTGATCTCAAGCTACCAGTGTGCACTGAACATGAGTTGGGAGAAGATGTGCATTCAGCTCCAGCACACCACTGAAGGTTCTTAAAGAAAGTAGAACTACGCGGAAAGAGGTGACACAAAATCTGTGTGTGGAACACTTACATGAGATGGGATGTACAGGCCACACTGACACATGACCACACCGCTTGTTATTCTCAGGTTGTACCTAGGGGCAGAATTGGGATTCCCAGAGCTTCATGGCCAGCAGACCAGGATCCCCAAACCTTTCCAGACAACAAATTTGGGTGGAGGGGATTTCCACTCACCTTGGAGTGGGGTGGGAACCAATAATGATGAAAAGGTTTGGAAAACACTTACTTTGTACACACAGGACAGATGAGGGAGTTTGCTTCCCACTCAGACAATATGATGCTGAGACACTTTTCATCAAACTGCAAGCTCTTCTCATATTCACGGATAATGGCCTGTTCTGCAAGGCAATGGACAGTTGGAGTGCTTCATGCTTCAACCCATTGCCCTGTCTTTAATGCCAAACTTCACCTTTAAAGGCTTCATCCACACAAAAGAAAAATTCAGGCAGAATTACACTACCAATCACTAAATATTTACTGCTCTGTCAGGCTTCCTCTTATTGGATCCCTCCCCTCCTATCTGTCCTCTTGTGAGCACAAGAGGTGAAGTGTGAGTCTGAGGGGCAAGGAAAAAGCTTTCACACACATCTCCGAAGGCTATAAGAGCAGAGGTGTACAGTGTCAGGGTCCCAGGGGCTGCTGGAGAAAGCTGACACTTACAGGGCACTTAATTCTGATGCCAGGCCCACGCTGATCTAAAGTGATTTGCTCCCTAATGTCCATATACTCAGAATTTGTGTTGTTCAGAATCTGTGTGTTCATTCATTCAGCAAACATGCAACAGTACCTAGTACATGGTAGGCATGGGGTACAAAGATGAAAAAGGGTGGTCCCTGCTCTTGAGGAACTCACAGTCTAGACTTTAGCACAGGGGTCAGCAAACCACAGCCCACAGGCCATATCCAGCCCACCTTCATTTTTTTTGTGTGTTTTTTTAAATAAAGTTTTATTGGAACATAGCCATGCTCATTTGTCTTTGTATTGTCTACGGCTGTTCCCATACTACAACAGCAGAACTGAGTAACTACAACAGCAGAACTGAGTAGCTGCAACAGAGAAAGCATGGACCACAAAGCCTAAAATATTTACTATTTGGCCCTTCACAGAAAGTTTACCAGGCTCTGTTCTAGAGTATTCCTTATGACTGAGTATGGCAGAAGACGTAAATCCTTACGATTTCAGATTTTTTTTAGTTAAATATACCCCCAAAGAAATATTTAGTGAGTCCTATGTTTCACCACTAAAACAGGGTTTGTAGTGAGGGTGAAGGGTGAATCAATAAAAAAAAAGGTAACTAAAGTTAAAAAAATCTACAGTCTAACTGGAGTCAATAATACCTGTCATAACAATAACACTTGCATAGCACTTACTATATGTCAAACGCTGTTTCAAGTCCTTTGTATATATTAACTTCTTCACTATTATTATCTTTATTTTAAAGAAAAAACTGAGGCACAGGGAGATTAAGTGCTTTGCCCGGTACCACGTAAGTTAAAGTGGTAGAGCTGAGAAGTGCATTTTAGCAGTCTGGCTCAAGAGTCCATGCTCTTGTATCCTCAGAATAACATCTATCATTTGTTGAAAACTTTCTATATGCCAGGTACTTCTCTAAGTCTTCCATACATGTTATTTAGGTTTACAAATAGACTTATAGGGTGTGGGGAGCAAACTGTGAGCAGTCAGGGGCCGCAAGGCTGTAAGCTGGCAAGCTGGCAAGCCTTCATGTCTGGGTGAGCAGCTTGGGGAACGTTTCACCCCCACTGTACCGTTGAAGAAAGAGGAACAGCCAAAACTGCAGATGTTCCTGAGACTTACATAACGGAATGCAATCCTGTTGACAGTTTCTACTTGCTAAACATAACCTTGCTAAGGGGAAATTGTTTCCCCATATCCCCCTTTACAAAGAGGGAATTGCTCCCTCTATATAAGCTTGGTGTAAAAAATAAACTGGGCCACTGCTCCGCCATCAGCGGTCGGGGGTCCTCCGGATCCCAGCTTTTGTCTCTGTGTCTTTCTTTTCTAATCTCCCACCCAATCCACTCATGCAACCCCGGTTGATGAGCAGGTCTCGTCAACAGGGTGGGTCTATTATATTTTACAGATGATAAAAACTAAGTCTAGTCAAGATAGGGCTATGTGGAATAAATGACTTAATTACATAAGGTGCTTAATTATGCATTCTACGGTGCTATGAACGCCTCAGGGAGTGGACGCTTACAAGACCCTGGGGAGTCAATAAAGAAAAAATGAGAGAGAAGACACTTAAATTAGGTAGCACAAGAGATCTGATCAAGCACTGTATCCTGCAAGGTGATATTAATCTATTAATAGAGAGGCACTATAGGATAGTAGAATCAACATGGGAACTGGATTCATAAAATTGATTGTTCTTCCAAACTCCACCACTAGCTGTGCAACCTGTGTAAAATACCACTCTCTTCTGTCTCATGCTACCTTGTAGGGTAGTCATAAGGAGAAAATAGGCATGGAATGAGAGGTCTGAGCATAAGGGCTAACACACTGAAGACTCTTATGACTGAGAAAACAGAGAGCCAAGACTTCAGAGTAAAAACACACTTCTGGACACTTGACTGCAGATGGAAGTAGAGGAAAGGGAGTTAATAACTAGTTGTGTAGAAAAAAAGTCAGCATTAGAGTAGCTAGATATAGGCAGGAAGGTCACCTTGGTCAATCAACTCCTGTTGGATTTCCTCCAGCACAGCCAAGTCCATCGGCTCCTCCAACTGCAAGAGAAAATAGGGTCATCAGAGAGGTGTGATGTTATAATCAGCTGATAAACCTTACAATGATTCATGCTTGGAGGCTAGCTTGAAGAACCCAGGCATATCTGAGGAAATCAGACCAGTCCTTCTGTAGACTATGCTGACAATGGAGTAATGTGGTCATTCTGAGAAGTCATCAAAAACGATTAAACCTACCCAATGACAAAATAATAGCACTTAATTTGGGGGAAACCATATAGGGCAGCAACTAAGTATTTGGTTCTGCCAAAGTTATGTGACTGCTAGAAATTTCCTAACCTCTGTAAACCTCAGTTTGGGCTTCTGTAAAGTGGGAATAAAACCAAGCTGAAAAAGGTAACTGTGAGTACTAACTCTGATCATATAACACCAACCTTTGGCATACTATAGGACATACAGAAGACACTGAATAATGCATCATTATTATTGGAAGCCTTGATGCTTTCAAAGCAGTTTTCCACGTTTTCTTATATAGTACTCAAAATGCTGACAACATTATTATCTTCATTTCATAAGTGTGAAAAGTAAAGCTCAAAGAGATAGAATGCAGATAAGACCCAACAGCAAAACCAGGGTCAGAATTCCAGAGCTCCTGACTTCTAATCCGGGACTTTTCCTGACACGTGGTAAATGGTTTCCTAGCCACACTCAGCTCCCAACTCTGGCTGAGATTAGAATCAGAAAGCTCTTGGAAACCTTTTTTAAAAAAAAGATTCCTAGCCCACGCCTACTGAATCAAAACTTTCAGGGGTGGAGCCAAGGAGTAAAATTACTGTCTTTTTAGTTTCATAAGTGATTATAGTGCAATGATACAGCAGGTCAACAATCTGGTATTTAGGAACCAATAATCTAGAAGAGTCTGATGTTAGGGTTAAAGACTCTCAGAATCCTGATTGGGGACTTGAGGGTGGGTGAGTTTAGAGCAGGGGTTGTCAAACTGCAGCTCGTGAGCCACATGCTGCTCTTTGGGTACATTCCATCTCAAAAGTTTGCTGACCCCTGGAAGAGCCAATCCTGTCCCTCACAACAATTTAAAAATTATTTGAGAGCCATAAATATATTTTTACATAATCACCATTATGTGAATATCCTTTAAAAATTTTACAAATGAAACTATGATAGTTTTATTTTCATTTTCAGTTTTACTTCAGAGCCACATGTGCATACCCAGAGCTGCATGTGGCTCATGAGCCACAGTTTGCTGACCCCTGGTGGCTCTTCCATCTCAAAAGTTTGCTGACCCCTGGTTTAGAGGATGTGGGGAAATTGGTAGAGAGAGGACACTTGGCATTCTGGGTGCTAGAGCACCCTCCCTGAAAACACATATTCCAGCCTGACCTGAGCCAAGGCCTCTGGACATCCTTCCATTGACTGCAAAGCATTCCACTCTTCTTCCATCACCTCTTGCACTAGAAGGGTGTTCTGAGTTCTCCCTGGCGCAGTATTGCCTCCAGCCTGGCGATATTTGTTCAGGAGCCTCTCCCGGCTGTTTCTCATTCTTTCCAGGCATCCCTTGGAAGAAGGAGAAAATGGGGATAGGGTGGGGATGGGTGGGAGAGGCAATTCCATTTAAAAAAAAATTCTTAGATTAGTTGTTAAAACATTAAAGGAAATTTATAGACAAAAAATTTCAACTATAATCCTAACTATTGTTAATTTTGTATATTCTCTTCCAGTCCTTATCCACATGTAGATAGATGCAATTACAATGCTCTGTTCATGTATTTCCGGATCCCATATTTCATATTCTATCTTCAATGCCAGCTTCCTTAATGGTTGGATGATAATAGTTCAGCATCCATTGTCCTACTACAGGGCATTTCAGTTGCTTCCAAATTCTGGCTGCTCTGGATAAGGCTATGGTAGCCACCTCCCTACACAACAGTGTTTCTCAACTTGGGGCAATTTTTTCATTCTGCGGGATGCCTGGCAATGCCTAGAGACATTTTTGGTTGTCATAACTCTAGTTTTAGGGCTACTGGCATCCAATGGGTAGAGGTCAGGGATTTTGCTAGGTACCCCACAATGCACAGAGCAGCCTCCCACAACAAAGAATTAACTTCCTCAAAATGTCAATAGCCGAGGATGAGAAACCCTGATGTCAACAGTCATTTCTAGCATCAGATTATTTTCCTGGGATATATCCAATACTTATGGAATTCCTGTAGACATGGGCATATTATTTACAGGAACCACGCTGAGTTCAGACTAGGTCAGAACTGAAGTGAGGTACAAGTCGGCTAAGACTTTGTAACTGAGGTTCTTCTGAATAGAGGCGCTCTCTTGAATAGAAACAATTTCTCTCTCGCATGAGGTACGTATACGGTATACAAAGTGCCTCTCTCGGTGCCCACCTACCCAACAACAGTAGGTGTTGTTACTGTAGAGTGCAGAGGGGTGGCCATGACCACACATCAAATTTAAAACAAACCCAAGTCCAAAAATAAGGCCCCTTGGAACGGGGCCGGCCCAGGCTAATCCCACACACAGGGGTCTAGAAACTCCGGGAGGCGGCCGGGCGGTGGCCAAGGCGCAGACCTACGGTGGGAGATTTGAGTCCCAGGTCCACCTTCACAAGTCAGGAGCTCCTGGCACCTGTCTCACGTACCGGGCTGAGGCGAAGGCACAGAAGGGAGCGGTTCCTGGGACGGATTAGGGGAGTGACGACGGCCCAGTCAAGGCTTCCCAAACCGCACACCCACCTGCCTGAAAGCCTCTTTCCAAGGAGGCGAGCCCAGTTTGTACAGCGAGCGACGCCGAGATCCTGACGGCTGTGCCATCTCCTCTTCACCAGACTCGCCGCCAGAAGTCCCCGCCCCCTGGGGCGCGCAGAACCCTGGGAGTTATAGTTTCTGGTTGCTGATCGCACTACACGGCAGGGAATTCTGGGAAGTGCTGTCTTCCTGGACTGCCCAACAAGGAGACAGATTTGGGCAACCAAAGGATAGGTAACTGAAGTAGTGACTTTTGTGATGTTAACCTACCCTGGGTTGAGGGAGGTAAGTCTTGAGGAAAGGTTTTGTATGTCCAGGTTTACCCAGGTGGAGGTGTCCAATAAGCAATCAGATACACAGGTGTCACGTTCTCCCCCAGGTTCTTGACTTCCCGCCGCTCCAAAACTTTCTCTAAGCAGGCACTGGCCTATTGCCCTCGTCCCGCTCGCTTTCGCTTCAGAATAAATACTTGACTGGCAATTGGCATTCCACTAGCGATGATGCCCTTGCCTGATGGGCTGACCTCACCTTCGCCCCGCCCCTAACTCTAGCTCTTGTTTCCGGGATACCTGCTAGATGATTGGGTGAAGCAGTGGACTGCTGGCCGCGGATTGGCTGCGCTCAGCGGCGGGCTGAGCAACTGGAATGAGGAGAGCAGTTGGGCCAAGATGGCGGCCGCTGAGGGCCTCTCCGGCGATGGTGATCTGTGGCAGACCTGGCTTCCTAACCACGTCGTGTTCTTGCGACTCCGGGAGGGACTGAAAAACCAGATACCAGTCGAGGCTGGGACATCGGCATCTTCATCATTGCCTTCGTCGCCGCCGCAGTTGCTGACGAAAAACCTTGTCTTAGGCCTCAGCGGAGAACTCTTCCTGTGGGACGGAGAAGGCAGCTCTTTCTTAGTGGTTCGCCTTCGGGGCCTCAGCGGCGCGGGTGAGGAGCCCAACTTCTCCCAGTACCAGGTACCGCCAGGTTAATTTTGGAAACCACCCTCAGCTGGGATTTGAACTAGTTTTATTTTTTCTTGTTCCCTCCCCATCCTGGCTTTTTTCGTCTTCTGGTAGGTGTGCTGTTAAGTGCCCTTTGTGGGACGGCCAACTTCGAGTGGAAAAGTCTCTCTTCTTCCTTATTTTCATTGCGCTCTAGCATGGCCACATAACCTTTTGTAGCCTTTCTTTCCGTATTTTCTTGGACAAATGTTTATTGGCCCGTACGCTGTGCCAGACACAGTTACAAGAACTCATCCTCTCTCAAGGTGCTTAAGTTCTTGGGGTCTGGGAGGAAGGGAAGGACCACGGAATGATCAATAGCATATCAGTGATGCAAATGCTCTGAAGAAAAACAAATCAGGCTAAGAGGATAGAGAGTGTGGGTGCGGTTGCTATTTTTAGTAGGGTGGTCCTTAGAAACCTCATTCCTGACGTGACACTCCTAAAATAGTAGGGATAATCCTCACTTTCTCTTGGGGTTGTTATGAGCTATCAAGTCAGGTAATAGATTTGAAAGCACCAAGTTTTGAGCCTGACATGCAGGAGTCTCCTGTTAATTCTTTCTTTTCCCTTTTAGAAAAGTAGGTCATCCCCAAAGTTGGAAGGGATTTTTGTTTGTTCTTGATAAGCCAACAGCATGTGAAAGTGGGTGTGATCAGAAAATATTCCAGACTTCTTGTAATGAAATATAACTTTATGGAAATGTTTATTTGTAATAAACTGATTCTCTTCTTTTAAAGATTAAAAAGTAAAAAATAAATTAAAAACTTGGCAGGCATTCTAACACATGTTGTGTGTCATTGCCCGATTCTTGTTGATGAGAAATTATTTGAATTTAAAGAAACACTAGCTATGTTTTTGCAGTTTTGAAAATTGGTCACAAGTCTATGATCTACTTTAAAATTTCAGTTTATAAGAGTAATTATCAGATGTTAAAATTTCAGTTTATAAGAGTAATTATCAGATGTTCAGCACACAGTATTCCACTAGCACCCTACATTACTGTGCAGCATTTGGCACAGTCATGATTAAATTATTCATATTTGTTTATTAATTGTCTGCTTTTCTAGACTGTAAACACCAAGGAAGAAGCTGTGTCTGCTTACTATTTATTCATTCATTCATTCATTCATTCATTTGGTATCTCCAGTAGTTTACTGAGTGCTTGGGACACATAAGCTCTCAGTAAATATTGGTAGCTATCTGAATGACCCTCAGTCCTCCAGAATATCAAAACCTCTGAGGTAAGCAAGTAAGCAGTTTAGCATGAGTTGCAATGTTAAACGTTAACAAAAGCATGAGTAGTGACTTAGAGACAAAACAGACAAACAAACAAAACCCTAAATACTGTGATTATCACTAGTCATTTAAGTTAATTGGATTGGATGTATAGCAGAAGAAAGGTGACCCTTGTTTGATTTGAGATAGACTGTCACAATATAGTAGAAAGACAACGGGGTTTGAGAAGATAGGGAAAAGAAGGAAAGAACCACTGACAGGTGAAAAAGCATTTGATTTGATTTAGCTGCAAAGGGCAGCTGAAAATCAAAACAAAAAACAGGCTTATAGATATCAGTAACAATACAAAGCTCATATTCAGAACAGTCTTGTCTAAAAGGATGGCTTAGGGTGATTCTCTATACACTGGAATTTTCATGGTTTATCGCTGAAAGTAGAAAGAAATGAAAATGGGAACTTGACATGGTCATAAGAGAAGAAATAGGAAGTACGAATGGAAGAAGTGAAATTTTTTGAGGCCATTTGATGCTGAGACAAACGCTGTTCCATATTAAATCTGCATAGGTAAAGCACCATTTTACTTGCTGCAGAAGCTCTTGAAGCCATTCTCTATCTTATTGTACTATTTCTTTTTATAACATACTAATTAGAATTAATACTTCCGAGTTCTTCATTTGTCTGTTCACTACAACACATTGAGAGTGAGTCAGCAATATGCCATATACTATGCTAAAGATAGTGAGGAAAGATACAGATTCATAAGTAATTCATTCTAAGTAATTCATAATTTGTGTGAGATGAGCAAGTGAAAGAATAATTAGAGGGTTGGCCGAGTGGCTCAGTTGGTTACGAGCTCACTCAAGAGTGCAAGCTCTGAGCAATGGCAGTTCGATTCCTGGCCTGAGCTGAGTTGCCACTGAGCTGACAACAGGTGGCAGGATGGCTCAGCTAAAAAAAAAAAAAAAAAAAAAAAGAATAATTAGAATGCAGGGTGATAAGAACTATAATAGAGTTGTCCAGAGTGTACTATAGGATTACAGAAAAGATACATTTATCCCTGTCCAGAAGATCAGAGATATTTTCTTGGGAGAAAAGTACATAGAAGCTGAGTCTCCAAGAATGTGTTAGCCAGCTAAAGAAAGGAAAATGAGGACATTGCAGAAAGAGGAACAGTTATGCAAAGACACAGAGGCATAACAAAGCATAATAATTACCCAGAAGTACAAATTAATCTGATTGGAGTACAAGTGGGGAATGATGGAGAGTTGAGACTAAAGTGGTAAGCTGGAGCTTGATCATAAAAACAGAAATTATGTGTAGTATTTATTTAACGAGGTAGGGAAATTTGATGCATTTCATATAACATTCCAATCAAAATGGTTAAAAATATTTCTTTAGTTAGTGGCCCAAGCGTTAGTAATTATCCAGAATGCTTCATTATCTTACAGTTATGGGAAACTAAAGCAGTACTGTGCTTTCAAGTAACTACCACATATATTTGCATTAAAATGAACTATTTTGACCAGTTCGCTTTAATTTCAGAAATTGCTTTGCATAAATCCGCCCCTGTTTGAAGTCTATCAAGTCTTGTTAAGTCCAACACAACATCATGTAGCACTTATAGGAATAAAAGGACTTATGGTATTAGAATTACCCAAAAGATGGGGGAAGAATTCTGAATTTGAAGGTGGAAAATCAACAGTGAATTGTAGGTAAGTTGTATTTCCATTTAATGTTTATCTGTATAATTTGTAATACAAGCAGAAAATTGTTCAAGACCACTGGTTCTTAAGATATGTTTACTATGAGTACTCCAGGTGGTATGCACTTTGGCTTCTCATGATAGTAATGTTTATAGTATATGTGTGATTATACTTTTACTCTGCCTGAATTATCACCTTGCTCTCTCATTGGAAGTCAGGCTGTTTTTCAAGTAGGTAGAAATAAGATTTTTTTTTAAAGCTGTTATTATCTGTGAGCCAGACAGTTTGTTCATAAGTTCAACTAAGTTTTACTTTTGTATTTTCTTTTTCAACAAATCCAGAAAAGCGAGAGTCTGAAACATCTAATGAAAAGAATGTAAGGTAGAAACCCACCTTTAGTTCCATAACTTATAGGTTGGGTCCCTTTAAAATGTTTCCTTTCTAAATCTCTTATTTCCTCATTTTCACAATAGGAATGGTAATATCTGTCCTTGTAGTTTCCTTATAAGGTTACTAAAGAACAAATAAGATACTATATCTAAAATCACTTGTAAAGTACAGTATAAAATACTCTACAATTTAGGAAAAATTTTTACTTTGATTCTTTAATATTGATTGAATAGATAGATGCTTTGAATGCTCTCTCAGCAAAACTTAAGAGAAAGAAATTTGAAGGAAAGAAGAGCAAAGAGTGTTAATAGATTTTCCTTTAGATGGTTTTTCATCCAAGTTCTACAAAATGTTTTTGGAAAATTGTTGTCTTTATTTTAGTACCACTCCAATTGCTGAGAGATTTTTCACCAGTTCTACCTCTCTGACTCTAAAGCATGCTGCCTGGTATCCAAGTGAAATGCTGGATCCCCACGTGGTGCTGTTAACATCGGACAACGTAATAAGGTAAATTTTATTTCTGTGTGTTATAGCTTTGTGAGTGGGGAGGTTCTATTTTTTTTGCTAATTAATAGCTCAAGGTGCCACTACATGGGTCCTTGGATGTTGGAGTGCTTTATCTGATGGGTGTTGTAACTCGTTCAACTAAGAATTGTCTCACTGCCCTAACTTGCATGCCTAATTACTGCTGTTCCTGCTCAACTAGTCTTCCTGCCTCTAGTCTCTCCTTTCCTAATCTGAACTGTAAGTGCTGTTATAACAAAATAATCTTCCTAAAACTGTTTTCATTATGTCACTACTTTAGAGGTAATGTAGCATAGGGGAAAGAGAATATAATTGGGAATTGAAAGATTGGAATTCTTGTCCCAATGCCACTTCTGTCTTTGAGATCTTAAACTTCTTTTTAGGAGAGCCTCAGTTTCCAGTTTGTAAAATGAGCAGATTTGATTTGGTAATTTCTAAAGCCCCTTCCAGGTTTTGCACTCTGATTTAATGTCCTAATCCTACAGAGATTTCTGTTACCACTTAACTTTCTGGATCTGCCTTATGTAAAAAGTTTATGGGGAGACTCAACTAACTGAGGTACAGATATCTCCAGTTTTATTTTTCCTAATCAGTGCTTTTAACTGTGCTCTACCAAATCTTCTACCAAATCTTCCTTCCCTCCTGAATTCTTGATCCCTTCTTGGCATGTTATACTGATCTCATAGATTTCTGATGACTTTCAGTTATAAAAACTTAGTCTGTCCCATTTAAAACTGATCTCAAATCTATTTCAAAACTATATCCTGGTCCTATCACAGGTCAGACGTTGAGGCATCTGAAGTGAGTGGAGAGGGCATGATCCGCTCTTTGATTCTTCTTTTTGTCCCAGTACCTTGGGGTTGGGGTTGGGGGTTGGGTAGGGGTTGCAGTGTAAGAAGGGGGGCTGCCTCTTCCTTCCTCTGGGTCCAGCTCCTTAATGGTGGGATAGCTGAGGCAGACATCTTACCTAACTGGTTGTCTGTCAGTGATGGGGTGGGAGTATATCCCTGATCCTAGTTTAATCTAGTTCATTTTCTGCTGCTGGTGGCCTCTGTTGATGTAGTCTCTGCACAGATGTGTGTGTGTGTTTTCCGGGGCAGTGTTTAGCCTTTAGCTCCCTCCATCATTGAGGAGCTGTCTCCCATTGGCCCTATCAGCTCTCCATGCCCTGAACCCATTGTCAAGATATCTTCTTCCTTCTCAACTTAACTGTTGTGTTCTTTCATATGGAGCCATGGTAACTGCCGAGGTCCATTTCCCTGCCCTTCAAGGGCCACAGAGAACTGGGCGTACTATACCATAGTCCTCTTAGGCTGCTCCCTCCTCTCTCCTTCAGAAATTTCCCTATAAGCAGTAGATACCATATAGTGTTCACATGCCCCCAACCCCAGGATATGGCATGTCAGATTCACCCAAGAATTCCCTTACCTTGGTGGCTTGTAGTTTTCTGCAGCGCATCTGGCATTCAGCTCAGAAATGAGATACCCATCTCCCCTTATTATTGGCACCTCTAAATCTGGCTGAGTGTTTCTGTTAGAGCCTTCTCTGCCCTACCCATTTGGCTTTAGAGTTGGGGTTAAAAAAAAGAGGAGGGAATACCCTCCCATTACAGACATTGTACTGTATTCCTGAGGACTCTTGACACCCTCTTTCTTAGTCTTTTATATATGCTGAAAAAGGAGACAGTGGGAGATAGTGTGGGTCTAAGTCTTCCTCAATTAAGCCCTAAGGAAGGTATCTGGCCTTAATTATTGAAGGTTCTTTTTAAGATACGGTATATTTAACACTTTTCTTTTCCTACATGTGGACCCTTTTGACAATTTCAGGGCAATAAGTCCCATTCAGGGCCCTGTTGCATTTACTGTTTCACTATTCCCCATTACAATATATATCGTCTAGTACTTATGTGTATTTTGAAGTCAGTAATGCCTATAGGAAGCTAGGAAGACCATATGAATATATGTTCAATTGGATCAAATTTTCATTGAAAACATTTATTAAATGGTGTTTTATTGATAATGGAACTAAGTTTAAAAAATTCTTAGTGTGTCAAACAAAATAAGGGATTAATTTGATGAAGACTTTATAAGGGACATTGGATTTTTAATATTACTGGCCTTTTGAAAATTATTCCTCCTTTTTACAATAGCCATATATGCGGTGAAAATTGAAGTTATGTTAAATTAAAATGATTTTGGCAAATTAAATTTTTTTTCAGTGTTATACTTCCCTTAAGAAAGTAGGGCTGACATGATATTATGCCTTTATATAACAAAAACATGTATAGATTGCAGACTAAATGTCACTCACTCTGCTGGCCAGAATAGTGAAATATGGTTCCTTTTCTAATGAGATGTGATGTCTAACAGGCAGAGAAAGATGGATATAATTGAAGGGAAGCTGGCAACCTTAGAGGCAGTAGTGAGATTACTAAATATGATGAATATGGCTAAGGACTTAGGATGGAAGAGACAGGTGCAATGGTACGGAGGAGGCTAATAAAGAATTTTAGTGAGGGTAGAGAATATTTCTTCAGGTCCCAAGAAAACCTCCCTGTAATGTTAAAGAACAAGTGAAGTAGGCTACTTCGTCAGTAACAGCAAGATCTTTGGCAAAGAAATGGCTGTGATAATGGGTAGGACTGACTAGATGTAGAGGAAAGGACAATTTTGGGAAATGAAAGAATTTTAAGTGCTGGCTTTCTTCTCTTTTGATTGCTAGAATTTACTCTCTACGTGAGCCCCAGACACCCACTAAGGTCATCATACTTTCAGAAGCAGAAGAAGAAAATCTATTACTCAACAAAGGGTAAGTTTTTATTTATGTCATGAAATGCTTTTCAGATTAGTTTATTGCTATTATGAATTCAATTTTAACAGATAAGCAAGGTTTTCCAGAGCTGACTTTAGCATGCTTTTGGTAATGTGAGAAGTAAGTAAAAGTAAGCACTGTGAATAAGTAACAAGAAGTCACAAATCTGAATGTCACTGTAACTACTAGCTTGATCTTTTTTCAAGAAAATTCTAAAATGTGAGTGGCTGAAACTGATTCCATGTTGTATCTTGAATAAGAGAATAAATTATAACATTGCCAAAGTACAGAGAAGGTGAAAGGTGAGTGTGTTGGGCTGAAGACCTCCCCGCTGTTCACTCAGTGTGAATAGGCAATGGCTGAACTCCCAGCCCAGCCTCTAGTATCCCAGAACCTGGAGTGGAACATAGATAGCCCTCCTGATTCTCCTGTGACCCTGGCTGCTTTATTTTTCTTACCCAATACAGGGGCAAGTTCCTGGCTGCTTTGACCTCTAACAGAATCACCCTTTGAACTCACAAACCCCATTCCTCTGGCCGCCTCCTGATCAGTCTTTCTGGTGATTACCCACAGTGTGTACATGTAGAATGAAGCTTCTTAGTAGCAATCTTTCTGGAAGTTCCATTTAGTTCTTTTCATGTCTCCATGGTGGCTATATATAATAGTCTTGTTTATTTTTGGTTTTTCTAACATTTAATCCTTTGAGTATTTCATATATAGCTATTCTGTATTTGACATTTTTAATCTCTGAAGTTCTTGGGGTATGGGGTAGGGATCTAAATATGTATTTATTCTTCTTCCTGACCCACAATCATAGTGGTTTCCTCCTGTGATTGCTACTCTCTAATTCTGAACTTAATGTTTCCTTGATCTTAATGTTTGGGAATATTGAGAGCCTGAGTTTGGTTGTGTCCCTCCACAGAGGATTTTCTTCTGCTTCTGCTAGGAGTCAGAGGTTGCCACCAACCTGGGACCACTTTGATTCTCCTTGGTAGTCCCAGAGCTGCAAATTTCAGTTAAATGATTTTAATGGCTTATAGCACCAGCTTCTTAAATTCCAGTGCGTCTGTCTTCAGAATAGGGAAATAAATGCCTCTGGTGCTGATCGGTCCTGTTCTAGTGTCAGGGCATTTTCTCCCCTGCAGTGTGTTTCCATAGATTATCAACCTCTTTTGGCAGACACATTGCCTAGATGAGAGGCAGTAGAACAATGCAGTTGTTAAGAGCTTTGGCTCTGGTGTCAGCACACCTAGGTTCTAATCTCAGCTCTACCACTTGTCAGCTCTGATATCTAGGCAAGTTACTCAGTTGCACTAAGCCTCATTTCCATAACTATTCCATGAATATAAAAAGTAGTAGTGCTCATTCATTAGGATTATTTTGCAGAATAAATGAGAGCATGCATAAAAAGTGCTTAGCATGGGTCTTGGCACAAAGTAAGTCCTCATCAATTGATACCTAGTATCATTATTAGATATATTATTACTGTATTTATTAAGTTCCAGTTAAGTGTTGATGGCATGGGAGTAGTTTAAGTCTCTTTAAATAAACTTCTATGTCTGTTTGTTCCTATTCATTGTCTTGATTTTTTACTTTAACTCAGAACTTTAACTCAGTTCTTTTATTCTGAATATTGGGATTTTTCATTTTTTGCTTTCTGCTACCAGATACCTTTCCATGTGATAAAGAAACTAAGATATGGTACTTATAATACCTTAGAATGATGTTGACTGTTGTCGCCTTACAGCCGATTCTTAGACCACCCCCCCTGCATTAGCCTCTGACCCATTAGTCTAGAGAGTGCCTCGGAAAACTGAGGCAGGATGGAATGATATCTGTAAAGCTCTCTGGGGGGTGGGGGTCTCAGCCTGACTGGGACCTGATGGAATGATATCAGCTGTCTCCCCTGGGAGGACATGTAATTATGTCTTGGGGCAATGTGGTGGAGTACGAAGGCATAGCATTTGCTGGAGTACACTGGGAAAAGGTCATTGGAAAAGGCCTTAAGGCGCACCAGTATACACGGTTAATGACTGACAGCACAGCAGTTTACTTCCTTGAAAAGAATCAATAAAAGCCATGCGTTGACCCGATTCGGTGGCTCAGTCTATCTCTGAAGGCTGAGTCCCTTGGTCTCGCTCTTAAATCTTACTTCTGTCTCTTGTACTTATTCAATCTGCGCCGCCCCTCTCGTGTCCCATTTGCCCTTGCCACGCTGGACGTGACAGACTGTCTCAACTACATGAAATTGTGATTTTATTTTAACCATATTCACTAACCTTGTATAAAACTGGAACCTTTTTGGATAACCAATTATACTAAATTTTAAAATTATAAAAACAGCATGTTTTATCATTTGTCTTTCCTAATTACAAAGGTAATATATACTTATTGTATAAAATTGGGAAAACTACAGAAAAGTATTAAGAAAAAAAATGAAATCTTTTATAATCTCCTATAGTCTATCCTCAGTATAGCAGCCAGCGTGATACTTTGGGTATAAATCAGATCATTCTGCCTTCCTGCTCTCCACACTGATTTCCCAGAGTCTTTATCATGGTCCGGCAGGGCCTACAGGTCTGCCCCCGACTGCCCCCCTCCAGCTCCATTCCTCCCTCTGCCTGGCTCTCTAGTTTCAATCACCTTGGCCTCCTGTCCATTCCTTAGACACCATCAGCCACCTTCCCACCTTAGAACCTTTGCATGCATCTTTCCCTCTGCCTCAACTGCTCCTTCCCTATGTAACCACAGACTTGCTCCCTTACTGCCTTCCAATCTTTGCTCAGATATCACCTTATCAGAAGTCTTCCCAGACCACCTAAAATAGCACCTCCACCAATACCTGCTTACCCTGCTTTAGTTTTTCTTCATAGCATCATTTTCTGACTTTGTGTGTGTTTATTTCTTCTCTGTTCGTTGTACTTCTTTATCACTAGAGGGCAAGGCCTTTGTTTAATTCACTGATATATTCCCAGAACCTACAACAGTGCCAGGTATAGAGTAGGTGCTTAGTAAATATTTGTGGAATGAATGCATCCGACTGCTCAGGGATAACTATTGGTGTTTTCATGTTTTCTTCCTATTTCTTTATTGTGTTTATGCATTGTATGTGTATAATTTTACTATTTGTGTGTCTTTACATTTAAACTGTTTAAAATTAAAGTAGCACTGTATAATTTTATGGCCTTCTACTTTCATTTAATTTTATAAGAATTTTCCAGTGTTGTTTCATTCTTCATAATCATAATTTTTTGTCTTCTGCATTAAATACAAATCCCATCCCACCTTCTGTTATTGGACATGTTGTTTTGTCTTTAACAGTTGGTTTTTAAATCTCTTTTCAGAAGGGCATACACCGCATCTCTAGGAGAGACAGCAGTTGCATTTGACTTTGGGCCACTGACAGCAGTCCCGAAGAATATATTTGGACAGAAAGGCAAAGATGAAGTAGTGGCATACCCACTGTACATCTTATATGAGAACGGGGAGACGTTCCTTACATACGTCAGTCTGTTACACAGGTAAGTTGAGGAGGTAAGCCACCTGAAATGAAAGCCCAGCTTGTGCTCCAGTAGAGATTGTCATAGTTGCACTTGGGACCCATGTTTTTGAGTTTGTGGAAGTGTTGTAGCCTTTCAATGCTTGGCTTGATAATTTTGGAGAAAGACTTGGTACAGATTATATGACCTTTCATTTACTCATATTATTTGGGTAAATTCAATAGAATTCTTAGATAATCACTTAAGACTGGATTTGTTTTTACAAAGTCTAGTCAACCAAAAAAGTATTTATTGGGTATCTTATATGAACAAGGCACCATGGGGTGTTAGACATGGTAATGTGGCATCTCACATCCCAGTTTTAGGGAAGAGACATCCATACACATGAAAAAATAATTACCTGTACCACATTAGTGGTCCATGGATGGTAAGAACCCAGAGGAAGGAGAGATCATCCTGACTGAAGAAGTTAAGGAAGTTGTCATAGAGAAGCACTGATGTCATGTGGGACTTAAAGGTCTAATGCAGGATTAAATGAAGCATCAAGGAAGTGTAAGACCATTTTAATTACAAGGGCAGCATGAAGTAGAGCATGAAAATAGGCAAGTACAGGCCGGCCGAGTGGCTCAGTTAGTTAAGAGCTCGCTCAAGAGGTTGAGCTGTGAGCAACAGCAGTTCGATTGCCGGCCCGAGCTGAGCAGCTGCTGAGCTGCCAACAGGTGGCAGGATGGCTCAGCTAAAAAAAAAAATAAAGAAAATAGGCAAGTACAAGTGTCATTCAGCATTCAATGATTAGACATTTGGGGCTGGAGCAGAGGATTCAGGTAGGGGGCATTAAATGATAAAGCTAGAAATATCTGCCCAGGGAAAATTTAGTGGAGTTAAACACCTAGTTAAGGAATATGGGTTTTTTTCTGTAGGAATGGTGTAGTAGGAAGCTAGTGATTGTTTCTCAGTAGTAAGAAAATGATCAAATAATTGGTTAGGGAAGGTACTGGGGCAGAAAGACTTTTAAAGAAGCTGTTGTAAAATTCAGCTTAAAGTCTACAAGAGTTTGATCTAGGATGGTTGTAATGCAAATGGAGAAATGAACATAGTAGATTCTACAAAGGAAGGATCAATAAGACTTTGTTATTGTTTGGATAAGGGAATGAGCCTAACCGAAATAACAGGTCAGGAAGGGCAGCTAATTTGGGGGAAGATTTGTTATTACAAATGGTCCATTTGACACAGTATTGGACCCGTAAAGTGGAAATATTTCATAGACAGTAGGAAATACAGGACTGGAAAAAAGATATCTGTCATAGAGTTAGCGTCCACAGAGGATAAGAATTTTGGGAAAGTTTATAACTAAGAGATATAATACCGAAGGCTGCACATTGTAGTTTATTCATTTATAAATCAACTCAGCAGACATTTATTCAGGGCTCACTATGTGGCAGAAGATGAGAATATAAGATTGAAGGCAAGATCCCTGCTGTGTGGTTCCTGATCTGCTGGAAAGTCATACAGCAAACCAATAACTAGTACAATGCAGTATGCTCCAGGCGTCACAGGGCACCAGAGTACTGGGACAGAGTATATGCTTAGGCCTGCCTGTCTGGGAAGACTGAAAAGACAGTAATACAAAAACTTGGACCTGAAGGATTCACTAGGTAGAAACAGGAGCAGAAACTCCAAGAGAGAGAAAAGAGTATGCAAAATGGTAAAAATGAAAGAACTTGACCAGTTGTAGAATGGTGAGGCTTCACTACCACTTGACAGAAGTGTTCTCTGCCTTCACACATGGTCTTACCTTGTGAGACTTTTGTGGTAACGTTATCATTCTCCCTTCCTCTTCCTCCTCCTGCAACTTGGCCTTCAATTTGTCCACATTATGATCTACCTAGTAATCTTAGCCCCAAACCTGAATGTCATCTACATCCTCTTGCATCCAATATGGTCCCAAAATTCTATTGCTTTTACCATGAAACTTTATTGAAAGTGTACATCCTTCTCTCCATTCCCTTTTTCTTGCGTCAGACCCTATAATCATCTTCTGCCTCAGTCATTCTTAAATAGTTGCCCTGAATCCTGTTTTGGTCCCCTCCATGCCATTCTCCTCACTACTGCTCACTACCAGATTAATCTTAGTAAAGTGAAGCTCCTTCAGCCTTGATTTAAACCTCTAGTGACACACTGTCACCCAACAGATGGACTCAGAGCACTTTTCCATGGCAAACGAGACTGTCTGCTCTAAAGGCCAGGCCCAAATATTTGCCTCCCTACATTTCTGTTGCCTTAGCCTTTGTATTTCGCCTCCCATCATACTAAGCAAAGTTTCCTTCCTGTTAATTCCTTGTCTTTCATGCCTCCAGGACTTTGTATGTGCTGCTCCCTAGCTTGAGATGTTCTCTTTCCCTTCCCAGAATATACCTTTTCCCCATTGATCTTACTTGTTTTTGATAACCTTTCTTACACACCTCACTTTCTTTGTACCTTTCTGTATTCCTTTGTACCCTGTAAATCCTTGCGTTATTACACTTACCATGTGGTATAGTAGTTCCAGTTAAATGTCTGCTTCTCTAGCTAAACCATCAGTTCCTTGGGGGGTGTCACCTAGCACTCAATAAAAGTATTTGTCTAATCCAATTAAATATGTGGGTCTGTAGCCCTGAAGATAAGCTACATGTCAGAAGAAAAAATTAGGGAGTCATCAGAATATACTGTAGGTAGTAGTTAAAACCAGGCTTACCTTCATATGCTGTCACGTAAGGGTGTATTTTGAAGAGATGAGGGCTTACAGCAGCAATATTTTTTTTCATGGTTGAGATTTTCCAGTGAAAACCAGAAGACTTACTAGACAGAAAAAAGCTTTAAGCACTACTAATGCTTAAGAGACGGAAATTAGAAGAAGGGCATTAGAAAGGTGTGTTCAGAGGGGCAGAAAGAGAGAACTCAGAAAAATTGCTACAGATGTTAAAGGTTTTAAGAAGCAAGCATTGTTAACTAGTGGTAAATGCAGCAGAAGGTCAAGTTAAGTGCCTTTTGGATTTAACAACTAGAATCTCATTAGCGACCTTTACTAGAGAGCTGCAGTGGAGTAGTGAAGGCAGAACCATAGTGAAGTTAGGGCAGGGTTTTTCATCCTCTGCACTATTGACGTTTTGAGCTAATTCTTTGTTGTAGGGGCCTGTCCTGTGGGGGAGTGTTTAGCAGCATCTCTGGACTCTGGAAACCAGTAACCCACCCCCTCACCTCACCTCCATCCTCCTGTTGTGACAACCAAAAATATCTTCAGGCATAGCCAGTATCCCCTTGAGGGAAAAATTATTTCCAGCTGAGAAGCACCAAGATGGTGGGAATGGAGTGGAAAAGCAATAAAGTGGAATCATTGGAAATACACTTCGTTTAGTTAGGATGTGATAGCTGGAGAAAGACAAAGTCAAAAAGGCTTTAAGTGATGGGCATGGCTGTCTTCTGTTAACATTGTTTCACTCAAATATGTTTCACTCTATCTTTAGCCCTGGGACCTTCGGAAAGCTGTTAGGTCCATTGCCCATGCACCCTGCAGCTGAAGATAACTACGGTTATGATGCTTGTGCTATACTCTGCTTACCCTGTGTCCCCAACATCCTAGTGATTGCTACTGAGTCAGGAATGCTGTATCACTGTGTTGTGCTGGAAGGGGAAGAAGAAGATGACCAAACAGTAAGTCAGGCTAGAGTGGGTATTTGTATCTCCATCACCTAGTATACTTCATGAACAAGTATGGATGCTTCATAGATGAGGACTTTTAGTTTATATCTGACACTTCTGGATAATTTGGAAGTTAAACAATTAAAATTAATTGGCACCCATTTAAAATTTTAAGTAAGAGGAAGTTACAAGGTGCCTGGCAGCTTGTTCCACAACCTGCATATTTCTTTCTGAACTCTAAGTTGTAGTCTTCAATCACCTATATAAAGAACCTTTGACTCACTGAATTGGCTGTTCTCTAAACTTGTTTACTTAAATCTTCCTAAAAGAAGAGACACTTTTCTCCCTCTTTTAAGAATAACAAGCCTCTGTCAAGAATAGGGAGTGGAATTAAGAATTTGAAAGCACTACTTGATCCATCTTTTTTTGCTTCTTTTTTTAATTGTTGAACATGAAAGACTAAAATTACAATGCTTTTTTTATAGTCAGAAAAGTCCTGGGATTGCAGGGCCGATCTCGTTCCTTCATTGTATGTGTTTGAGTGTGTTGAGTTGGAGCTTGCCCTGAAGCTGGCATCTGGAGACGATGAGCCCTTTGATTCTGACTTTTCTTGTCCAATCAAACTTCACAGAGGTAGAGTATTCACTAAATTAATTATTTTATCCCATTAGATTTACACTAAGACTATCATAGACTGTTTAGTTCCCTGTCATTTATTTGTTCTATGGTTCTAGCCTTTAAAAATTTGACTGGGTTCTTTTGGCTTTTTAGTTATTACATTACCCTGTAGGTTCAGGAAAGACTGAGCAAAGTTCCCAAGTTTTAAGATACTCGTCTTCAGTCTGGATCCACCCACATTTATAATAGTGAATTATTCCTGGTCTAATCAAAAGTAGATTTCATGATTCAAACACTTAAATGTATGCAAACTTTAATAAATTTTAAAAATCAAATTATACTGATATGAAGACATCTCTTTAAAATAGCTTCATTTTTTAAAACACATTATCTTGTTATACTCAGACCCAGTTTGAATGCTGTCCTATCCATCCATCCATCTATCTATCTATCTATTTATTTTACTTATGTGCATTAGTTCCAGATCCTCTGTCAAGTTATTTCTGTTCATCTGGGGAGCTTTTAGATCAACAGCAGAGAAAATCAAAGAATGTGCTGTTCAGACAGAGTGGCTGAGTGGAGGGAGTGTGTGACTAGGAGTCTGGCATGTGCTGGGTTTTAGTTATAGCTCTAACATTAATATGCTCTGTAGTATTGGGCATTTACTCAGCCTCTCTGGTCTTCAGTTTCCCATTGGAAAACAATAGGGATAACATCAGATGAGCTTTAAGGTCTCTTCTAACACAAAATCCTGTATTCCTGTTTCCCCTCCACCCATTGTCAGTCTTTCCTAGGATCTTGTCTTCTCTGTAGAACAAAGATCCCGATGAATAAAGAACAAAGCTTACTCAGTCTGGAGTAACTGGGTGTACCTTTCATTGTTTTCTTCTGCCCATTAGAGAGAGAGGGAGTTCAATCTTGTAGCAGCCTGATCTAATCTGCTTACAGTCCTATTAGCCAGTTTGCATAGATTTGTTAATAATGGCTTCAACTCAGTATTACAGTATAGCGAAAACATTTAAGGTGATAGGAGTCCTTCTATAATAAACCAACAAAGAGAACTCACTGGGCGTGTCTAATTAAACAGTGTGTGGAGGCATGTACTCTAAATATTAAGCCTCAGAACTTTGCTTTATAGATGAGGAAATTGAGATCTAGCGAGGTAAAGTAATATAAACTAATTGGTTTCCTTATAGAGAAACATATATATATCTTTGGGAAATCTTAAATGTAGGCATTTTTATCTTGGTTCTTCTAATGAGAGTTAACATTTTCTTATGTGAAACTAATAAATTTTGACTTGTTCATATTTGTACTTACAGCATATTACAGTCACTGAAACTCAGATTTTTAATGACATAAGTGAAATAAACTACCATACAACATGTGGGGGAGTATCTATCAAATTTCCTCCTTCAGTTACTAATTTTGTCCCTTTTTCATAACATTTCTGTAACATCCCAATATTAACCTTTTTCTGTGAATTTAGCACCACAGATACATTTTGAAACACCACTTTAAGCAACGGTAGACCTAATGAGATGACTTGAGCCTTAATTTAAGTCTCAAATATGGGCAAATGAAAAGAAGCTTCTCACTGTTTTAAGAGAGATGATTGCCACAGACCAGGAGTTTTTAAACTTCTTATAGCATAATTCTGTGTTCAGAGGTGTTATGCAGAACCCCAACATAAAAAACAGATAAAAATAATACAACATCCACTTTATAATATTTACTACTGTAAAGTTGACTATAAGAAAGTGAAGCTGTTAGATAAAAAAAAAATATATTAAGATGACAGTTGCCATCTTAAATCAGCTTTAGCATATACATTATTTCTGTATCTTGTTTTAGTTGTCTAATGTTTTAAAAATCTTGAGTCACAGAAATAAATACTTGTAAGTAATAAGTATTCAAGAGCTCATTTTTTAGTCTTGGGATAGTCTTACTGATAGTAGGGCTCAAAAGAAGTATAGAAAATTTCATTAAAATTATGTAACAACTGCTCGTGTTCTAATTATAAATATCAAACAAAGATAGTATTCAAAACTTAAAATACTTATCTGTAAGTCAGCATTCTCAAGACTAGAAAAACTTCACATTTCACTCCTGACATACTGTACTATGACAGAGCTATTCACTAACCAGTTGTACTAAAGTCTTTTTAGTACCTGTGCTGTAGGAGTGCACTTGCTTCAACAATCTCCTGTAAGTAGATGCGTGCAAGCATAGGTTTCCTGCAGAGCTATAATCTTAATCACCATTTTATTTTGAAGAACTATAAATAAAAGCACAGAGGTGGACAGAAAGGCATCAGTGAGTTACCTGACAGCAAGTGCTTATGTTTTGGTGACTCCTGTTGTGTTAATATTCAGAAAATAACATATTTGGATTGTGTTTATTATACTTTTAAAAACACTTAAACTGTATTTGAAAATTGAATTCAAATTTTAAAATTTCAAAACCCCTGACATAGTTCCACAATGTGAAGGTCCTGTATATCTTCCATCGCTTCTGTCAACAACTGTGTCTGTGGGCTGCTGAGTGAATCTTTCCGTTTTCTAATGGCTGCCTCTATGTCATTACTGATTCCATTTGCAGATCCCAAGTGTCCCTCCAGATATCACTGTACTCATGAAGCTGGTGTACACAGTGTTGGGCTAACTTGGATTCATAAACTTCATAAATTTCTTGGATCAGGTGAGTTTTCTGTGCTTTTCATTGTTTCACAGACTCTATAAAAAAGTAGTTTGGAATAGAAAAATAATAGTAAATATCAATGAAACCAAAAGTTGGTCCTTTGAAAAGATCAACAAAATTGACAAACCTTGAGCTAGACTGACAAAGAAATAAAAGAGAGAAGATTCAAATTACTACAATTCAGAATGAAAGAGGGGCTATTACTACTGACTTTACAGAAATATAAAAGATTATAAGGGTATCCCATGAACAACTTTATGCCAATTAGATAATCTAGATGAAATGGGCAAATTTATAGAAAGACACAGACTACCAAAACTGATGCAAGAAGAAGTAGAAAATTTGAACAAGTAAAAGATTGAATTAGTAGTTACACTCCTGAGTATATACCTAAGAGAAATGAAAACATGTCCACACAAAAACTTGTAAATGAATGTTTATATCAACATTATTCATAATAGCCAAATAGCCTAGTGTCCATCAACTGATGATTAGATAAATAAAATATGGTATACTAATACAATGGGATATTACTCAACAGTAGTAGAAAGGAATGCAGTGCTGACACATGCTACAACATGGATGACCCTTGAAAACATTATGCTGAGTGAAAGAAGCAAGTCGCACACAACTGCATGTTATATGCTTCCATTTATATATAATGTCCAGAATAGGCAAGGCCAGAGAGACAGAAGTAGATTAGTGATTGTTGCCTAGGTCTGGGGGATTGGCAGAAACTGGGGAGTGATTGCTAATGGGTATGGGGGTTTCTTACTGGTTGTACAATTCTTTTAATATACTAGAAACCCATTGAATTATATACTTTAAATGGGTGAGTTGCATGAATTACATTTGAAAAAGCCATTATAAAAATAAAATTGGAGGGGCCGGCCGAGTGGCTCAGTTGGTTAAGAGCTCGCTCAAGAGTCTGAGCTCTGAGCAACAGCAGTTCGCGTCCAGCCCGAGCTGAGCAGCCGCTGAGCTGCCAACAGGTAGCAGGATGGCTCAGCTAAAAAAAAATAAATAATAAATAATAAATAAAATTGGCATGGGTGAGGAAGAGACTGGTAAGGAACGATTTCTGGGATTGTTCTCAGTGAAACATTTCTACATTTAGAAACTTGGCCAAGGAAAATCCACTGTCCTTCTTGGGGCAGAAATCTAGACCCTTATGGAAAGATTTCTGTCAGAAAGGCATAGTCCTTAAGAAGCAATGGTCTGAGACAAGTACTTACATTTAATTAGTATCTTCAGCATTTTAATTTGGAGACTTTTGTGTGTCAGTTAACTTATATAATATGTTCCTTTGTAGATGAAGAAGATAAGGATAGTTTACAGGAGCTTGCTACCGAACAGAAATGCTTCGTAGAACACATCCTTTGTACGAAGCCATTGCCGTGCAGGTAGGAACCTTCTGTTGTATACACAGGTAACGGTTGTTTGTTTCAGTGATTCAGATACATGTATATACATTACAATAGCATGCAGACTCACCCCTAAGAGTATCAGCTCATCACATGTTCATCCAGAGCTCTCCCCTGCTTCAAGATCACTCCATATGTTGTGTCCTCTGTCTGGAAGGCATTTCCCCAGTCGCAACCGAGTTTGTCGTCTTCACTTGGGTAACTCTTTATTCTTTCTGATCTTAACATAATGTCAGTTCTTCAGAAAGCATTCCTTGATTCCCCAGTCTAACTTAGGGTTCTCCTGTTATTCTCCCTTTTTCTTTGTAGCACATTAAAATTGATGTTTCTGTTCGTTTAACATCTGTCACCACTACTGGAATATATATGTTTCATGACAGCAGAGACCATGTCTGTTTCGTACTATTTCCTGTCCGCTCATATACTTGGTGTCTGTCAGAGTGCCTAGTGGATATTCAGTAAATATCTACTAGGATAACTCCCAGGTCTCTCTCTACCTGGGATAACTGGGTAGACGTGGTACCCTTCAGAAAAATGGGACAGGAGGAAGACAGAAGATGTGTTAATGGGGGGCGCGTGGAGTTTTCTGTTCCTGTGGGACTCCCACGTGGAGGAGCCCAGTAGGCAGTTGGACACGTAGCTGTGGAGTGTGGAGTGGTCGGAGCCAACACGGTGTGGATGTGATAATTGTCGCACTGGAACTGTGACTGGTAAAGGTTACTCAGAAAAGGGCCTGGAATGAGTGGAGGAGACCCGAGAAGACCGTCTCGAGCAATACTCTCTAATAACCAGTGAGTGGGAATAGAGGAGCCCAGAAAGGAAACTCGAGGGCCGCCAGAAAGACTGCAGGGAGCCTGAAGGAGAAGATGTCAGGGATGCCCTTTGGGGGTGCGGGGTAGCACCAGGTTTAAAACTGAAAGGGGGAAGTAGATAATAAAACGCCACTTTTATACATTTCAAAAACAGGTAAAATAAGCAGTGTTGCTTAGGAATGAATACATAGATAGGAAACTAATGAAGCAAAGCAAGAATGTGAATATGATAAAAGTCAGAATAGTGATTACTTCTCTGAGGAGTGAAAGCTTGTGATCGGGGAGGGTCACGTGGGAGATGTTAGGACACTGCATGCAGTGGTCTAATTGTTGACCTGGGTAATGGGTACAGAGTGTATATGTGCATTCTTCTATGTGTAGATTTCACACTGAAAATAAAATGAAAAAACTGGGAGATTTTTTAATCTCCCAGTCTCCCCCTTACCACCACCATCCCTCCCCTGAGCCCCCAAAAAAGGTGAATGAGAGATATAGGAGAAATAATAGTATAGGCTACAGTTTAAAGGCTGCTGACCCTAAAGGGAAGAGGAGAAAGGATAGCTTAGGGGGAGCTTGAAATTACAATGGAGAGTTTTGAATGGAAGAAATGTGAGCATGTTTATAAGCTGAGGGTAAATAGACAGTAGGTAGATTTTGAAACTGTATAGTTGATGGGGCAATCCTCAGAAGAGGTGAGGCAAGGACAGCGTCAGTCCGGGGACGGGGACGTGCTGTGGTGGGGGGCTGAGCCGGGGGCAGTGGAGAGCCTGTTCGCAGGAAAGTCGTTTCATATCTGAGGTCGAATTTCTTCAGTGAAGCAAGGACCAAGATTGAGAGGGAGACGCAGGCTGTGCACGTAGATTTAGTCCTGTGACACGGACATTGGGCTGCACTGGGTTTTTAATGTGAGACTGAAGTTCTGTTTAGTCACCAGTTTCTGAGCACTTCAGCTGGGCTGGGCACCTAAAGGTAGTGGGGGCCTCGTGCACGTTGGGCAGAAAGACACACAGAATTAACTGCACTGTATCATGGTAGCTGCTGAGATTACAATGAGTGGCATGAGGCTCTGGGTTCCTGAGAGACTTGTAACTCAGATGGTCTCTAGACTTAAGTGACAGCTTGTTTCAAAGTGATCAGAGCTGTACGTATTCCAGGTTTCCAAGTCCCCACCTTTGAGGTTACTGCACTGATAATATGTACCAGGCCTGAGAAGGTGACGAACCTCAGCCGTGTCGTCGTTTTTGGGTCCATTGCATTTGCTGTTTTATAACTTAACTGTGCCTGTTTTTCCAGGCAGCCAGCTCCGATTCGAGGATTCTGGATTGTCCCTGACATTCTGGGGCCCACGATGATCTGCATCACCAGCACCTACGAGTGCCTCATAAGGCCTTTATTGTATGTACCATTTTGTATGCCCACACAACTTGTTCATTGTGCAAAATCTCAGCTGGGAAATGCCCTCAGTAACTGGCTTGAAGATTCTTGGTTATGCTTTGGCTGCTGACTTGAGGATTGAAAGCAGATATTTCTGTTGTTCTCACATCACTGGAAGAATTTATTTTAGGCATGATTTCTGGTATCTTCTTCAGCTAGCTGAAGTCAAGAGCTCAAATTGTGGGAAAAAATACTAAAATAAGACTGAACTCCATTATTATGAATTAGCTTTAATGCTTATCAAGCTCTAACTATGTGCCAGGCTTAGAAGTAAGCCATTTACCTGCATTGTCTCCTGTACTCAACCCTGTAAGGACAGCACTGTTACCTCACCTTGTAGAAGAGGAAACAGCTCAGAGGTTAAGTAAATGTTAAGTAACACACTGAGGTAGGCTGCAAATACAGGGTTTCTGACTCCAAAGTCCATAGTGACATTTTAATTTCTCCATCTCTGCCAGCCTCAGGGGACCTGAGCATCTGTAAACCCTGTAAGACAGGTGGCATATGGCTGAACTTAAAATCTTCTTCCTTTTTAAGGAACTCATATTAAGTTATAAGCACCATTTTTCTTTTTCAGCAGCTCTGGAATGCCATTCTCAGTTTTATAAATGCAGGAACAGGAATCCCTGACGAGCCACCAGCGTTGAATATGCTTTAGGGCTCCCTAGTCTCTTGATGTCTATTCAAAGCATATGCTTCTAGACACTGACATAGTTCAAAATACTGCCATTAATTTACTGTCCTTCAGAGAATGCCTATGCTCTTTGAAGATTGACAAGTTGTTATACTATTTGGACAGGAAAATAATTATCATTAATTCTGTGTTATTTATCCTAAGAGAGACTATAAACTCTAGTAAGACTTAACAAAAGTAATGGAATCACTGAAAAAAAAATTCCTTTTGTCTTTTGCCTCAAGCATATTTAAAAAATAACCCATCCTACCTTTTGTGAAGTAAGACCTACTCACACTAGATTACTTCAGAATAAAAACATGAATCCCAAAGGAAAAGAAAAGTCTTAATTAAATATTAGTTATCTAAATACGTTCAAATCAGGTTTCTGCTGAGTCCCTGAAATACAGGTTTTCTATGTTACTGTTCAGCAGATGCCCAGATTGTTGCATTCAGTTACTTACCATGCTGTTAAAGTTTGCAATCTTTCAAGCTTTCTGAAATTGTTGTGAATATTTATAATATCTGAATGGATGTAATTTTTAGAAATCAAGTTAAATAGAGCAAATATGGTGTATATATAGTGGTTGTCTGGCTGAATATTGGTTTTGATCAAATCCAAATTATATCTAGGAAATGAGTGATTCATTTACGTTTGTGACTCTGGCTTATAACGGCCTTCAAGTCCTTGCAAAAAGGGTCCATGATAAATTTATACTTTTGTGCTGCCTTCATCTTTATAAAAATAAGTTTAAGTGACAGAGTCCAAAATGCTTTGACAAGTGGTTGCATTGGTAGAATAAGGGGATAGCTTCCCAACGTGACTTCTCTAAGGCAGAAAATGTGAGTCTTTGTACTTACACAAGTAACACTTTAGAATGTCTTAAATTCTCAGCGTTCTGGATAAATGTGGCTTATACTTTCCTATAATACTTACAGTAAGTAACTCCATGGTAGATTTTGTTTGTATTTTGCAGAAGCACAGTCCATCCAGCTTCTCCTCCCCTCCTTTGTACCCAAGAAGATGTGGAAGTGGCAGAGTCTCCCCTCCGAATTCTGGCTGAATCCCCGGATTCTTTTCAAAAGCATATCAGAAGCATTTTGCAACGTAGTGTTGCAAATCCAGCATTTTTGAAGTATGGGATTTGGATATATAGGTTTTAAGAACTGGTTCCCTTCTTGTTTCATTACTGTTCATCCTTTCTATTCTCAGCTATTTATTTCACTTTATGTACTTGTTGTTCCACTGGAGTTAGAAGAAACACACAGCATATTTAATCAGCTAGTGAATAGAGGGGAAGAGTGGATAGAAATAAAGGCACGTGAGAATGATAAATAGAAAGTATAAAAAGAAGGGAAAGCAGCAGCTGTGACTTGAGTCTATTTTAGTTGTTTTACTCAGCGAAGGAAAGTAAAGGTAGAAACTTTTTTTAAAGATCATCTGAAAAAGATACAGCCCCTCCTCCCGAGGAATGTCTTCAGCTCATCAGCAGAGCCACCCAGGTGTTCAGAGAGCAGTACATTCTCAAGCAGGACCTGGCAAAGGAGGAGATTCAGCGAAGGTAGGATGGCCTCGCTCACATGCCAGCTCCCGGCGGGGAGCTGACGCTGTATAGTGGCCTGGACCTGGCTTCTGATTACATTTCTTTTTTTTTCTTTTATGCTCTTGAAGGGTCAAATTACTGTGTGACCAAAAAAAGAAACAACTAGAAGATCTCAGTTATTGTCGAGAGGAAAGGTAAGTGCCAAAACGAGGAAGGAAAAAACAGTTCAGTAAGACTGGGACTGTATCTCACCCTAAATGCCGGACCACATTCGGTGGCTTTACCATCAAGGTAGACCTCAAGTCTTGTTTTTTTATGCCACTAGGAAAAGTCTGCGGGAAGTGGCTGAGCGCTTAGCTGACAAATATGAGGAAGCCAAGGAAAAACAAGAAGATATCATGAACAGGTCAGTGGGTTGTATGATATTCAGTTCCCTGCTCAGGCACCACTAGTCCTGTTAAGTACTCCGGTATTAAGAGTGTTAAAGAAAATGGGCTTCGGGCGCAGACTCCTGGGCCTGCAAAATTGGATGGATGCCCCTCCCTCTGCTCTGAGCTGTTCGGGAAGACAGTGCGCTTATGCTTTCCCCTGACCTGTCCTGCAGGGCCTCCTTCAGACACCACATTCATGAATTAGAGCGTTAGTTATAATTGTGTTTCTGCTAAGTAGCAGAGATCTTTTTTTTTTTTTTTTTTTTTAAGCTGAGCCATCCTGCTACCTGTTGGCAGCTCAGCGGCTGCTCAGCTCGGGCTGGACTCGAACCGCTNGGCTGCTCAGCTCGGGCTGGACTCGAACCGCTGTTGCTCAGAGCTCAAACTCTTGAGCGAGCTCTTAACCAACTGAGCCACTCGGCCGGCCCAGTAGCAGAGATCTTAAGCTGAGATGTTTTCTTACCTTTTCTAAAGGATGAAGAAAGTACTTCACAGTTTTCATTCTCAGCTCCCAGTTCTCTCTGATAGTGAGAGAGACATGAAGAAAGAATTACAGCTGATACCTGATCAACTGCGACATTTGGGCAATGTCATCAAACAGGTAGGAATGGATGCAGGGTGGCTACATTTTGTACTTTTTATAGTGTTTGCGCTACAGAAAATAATTTTATAAAATGTAAAAAGAACAGACTAAAATAGATACTATGAAAATGCTGTTGCAAACCGTAGCTAAAACATCTGTATTCTGTTTGATACTAAGGTTACTATGAAAAAAGACTATCAGCAGCGAAAGATGGAAAAGGTCCTGAGTCCTCAAAAACGCACCATCACACTCAGTGCCTACCAGCGAAAGTGCATTCAGTCCGTCCTGAAGGAGGAGTAAGTAGACTGTCAGTCCACTGTTACTGCAAGGTAGCTTTTCCTTTGCAGTAAATATGCCAAATATACCTTTCTCTGCTCAGATAAGATTACTTGCCATTTGCATGTCTAGTAAGTACTGGAATGGGAGCCATATGATCAGGGCTTATGAAATGACTATGGTGGATCAAAAATAATTACTTTCTTGTAATACAATTTTGTGCTCAAGGTATTCCTCAGTGAATATGTTCAAAAATATTTCCAGCAGTTACAATACTGTTTGCTGCCGTTAGCCTTAAATGAATAGTAAACACCATTACTATCCAACTGAAACCTTAAGCTATTCATTTTAGCATAGCACTTCTAAGATATTTCAACATTACTAGTTTAATATTAATGGTCTTATTCATTCATTGTATTCCCAAAAGTGAGTGACTTTATGATTTTACAGGGGTGAACACATAAGACAAATGGTGAAGCAAATTAATGATATCCGAAATCATATAAACTTCTGACACCAGCGGGAATGGATTTACACCTGAAGTTAACACAAGTGAAGGCTTAAACTCATATTGTAAAACAAACAGGTAGCATTATCTAATTTATAAAGAGGCATTTTGGATGAGCTTTGGTGTGGTTGTTCATCATTTTTATAGTTTGTTTTATAATTACTGAATAAATGCTTTTATTTAAAAATCGGAATGTGCTTTTTATATAAGTTCGAGTTGATGATTGTATTCAGCAAGGGCCTAGGATTTTTTTAAAAAGTCGCCAACGTTCAGCTGCACACTGCCAGGTCTCCATGAACCCTAATGAGTTTTCTCCATAGTTGAACAAGCAAGAATAAGAGCTGCATTTTAAAGTAGCAGTACCAGAAATAGGACTCCAGAGAGGGACAGGACCTTAGGATTCAAAGGAAAAGGCCACACAATATACTAAGCAGCAGCTTTTTTAATTTGAACACTTTCTTCTTAAGGACACACCTTCAGTACAGTTAGTAAATGGTTACATCTGAAATCTGCTTAGAACTGAGCCCAGGATCCACAGTTGTAAGGCCACTGCTGGATCACTTCCTCAATAGGCAGTATTACCTTTCAGAGCTAAGTTTGGCTGTGCACTGTGTCCTGATATGTGTTACTGAGCGAGTATGGGGTAAGTAGGACTTCAAAGGGAGAAAGAAACAAATAACTTGGTATGCAGCACATGGTTTTGTCCTCAGTTAATCTTTTTAGACCTGCCAATATGAGTTCTGAAAGGTAATACCGTACCTGCCTAGAAATGGCTGAGTGACTGCCAATTAAAAGCCACATGGTAAGGTAGGTTACAGGTAAGAGGTAAATCAGGTTAGACATGCGTGAGAACGTGTGTACAGACTGAATACAAGCACAGGAACACTCGTGAAACCCATGGTCTTTTCTTTTGTCCAGACAGGCTAAATCCTACCTTCTAAATCAGTTTCCCATTAATAGAGAAAACCCAGTTTAAAGTGTTTCCTACCAGGATAGTGTCACAGTGGTTTGTTTCATACCAGAAGTAGATTGTTAACAAAACCTAGAATCTCACTTTGGGTTTTCCTAGGATATTTTTCAACAAAGTGGGTTCTAACAGTTTGCGTCTGCCATGGTCGAGACCACGGTGCTCTGATCATGATTTTATTGGCCCAGGACCATCTTAAAGAGAAAAACATCTGCAGGGTCTCAGGGCGCTGTAGTTCAGTTCAGGAAGGTTATGAATTACCCATCCTGACTTACATCCTGACGGTGCCAGTTTTGGTAATCTCAAACAAATTAACTCAGGATTTATTCAAAGGACCGGTCTTATGTAATCTAAACTGATTGCGTTTTGGAATTAATAAAATTCCCTGTAACTCAGTGAGGATGTATGTATGTTTGCTTTAAACCAAATAGCACTTTATACAAAGGGACTTGAAACCAATTAAAATGTTTCATGCATGGCAAGCCGATAGCACTATTTCCATAATTAGTATTTACCTTTAAATTCATAATCATGAATGCAAGACTACAACAATAACCCAAGGAATGAGGTATGTAGTCCTTACCTTGTCCCATGGAAGACACAAGTAAAGATCTTTAGGGCTAGTCCATAATGACTTCATTTATAACGGACAATTCACTTTATAAACTGTAAGTTAGTGGCTTTTAGTGAGCCAAACAATCTACTTAATCCACTTAATTCCCCATAAGGTCCCTTCAAGTGCCCTGCTGTTTTATAACACCAATCACAAAAATTATTTGAAAACAGTTTTACTTTTGAGCCATGTGTATGATGAGTTAACAGTGTACCTCCCACTGGCTAATAGTATGGCAGCAGGTAAACAGCAAACAGGAATCCATTCTTTGTGCTTTCTGCACCACTTCCTAAGGCCTCGGCAAAGGCGGCCTGTTCACTGATGCTTATTCCACATGGGAAAGGAATCTAACCTCACAGAAATGACAAAGCAGATTTCCAAACTTATGAAGTTGGGTTTTCCCCAACTTCATAAGCATTATCACACTCCAGATCTAAATTATAAAAGTAAAATACAAAATAGGTATGTCAAACGTGGTTATCACCATTTTTATATTTGACACTTTTGAAACAAACATTACCTGGCCCACTGATTTGAGTTAAAAATAAGCAGCAGATTTATAAATTTATAAATACTAGATGTCAGCATAGCTTGCTTTGTTATTATTTTTCCACTGATCCAATAACTAAAACAGTTTTCAAAGAAGTAGCTGGTACCAGTTCAGCTTGATCCTGGTACCTGTGGGCCCACGAAATTCATCCAGGCAGCAGAAAAAGTGCTTCCAAACAGTTTCTTGTGCTTTTCCTTTAACCTCAACTTTCAATACATATAGCCCCAGCCAAGTTTTCAAATTCTCATAATTCATTTCTTGAATTGATTTTGTTTGCCACCGTCTTATGGTTCTCAGGCAAGTTTCAGTAGCATTTAAGGTCCTCCAACACAAGATAAAATGGTTAAAAAAAAAAGCACTGAGCTAGGAATTACAGTCACTAGCCAATGGCCTGCTCTCAAATTTCGTATTTTAATATAAAATATTCATACAGCATATTACACCTGTCTGCTAACTGAATACTATTACTGATGAACTCTAGACAACAGAAAAAATTCTCTTCCAATATCTATGAACAGGAAATGTAATTCCACACACTACTGGGTTGGTGCTTTAGGGTAGGGAAATGTTGGGTAATGCAGGCCAGGAAACAGCGCTTTCTCCATCACCAAATCTGATTTGACACCTGCTGGAATCGAGTCTGCAGTTTCATTAGTGTTCCTATTTGAAAGGTCTTTCTGCTGTAAATCACTATGGCTGTTGGCTGTTCCTGTGTTGCAGTCTTTTCCCACTAGAAATAAGCATTTCTCCAGTCTTCCTTTTATTGTGACTTCTTCAGTTAAGAGTTAAATAATAATTAATGTTGCTCTAAGGATGAGTTAAAAACCCAAAGTGCAGACTAGAGTCCTGCTGTGAGGGCGTCATGTCTCAGGGAGCTGGTTAATGTCTGTCAGTTTGGTGTCATTCAGAATTGCCCGGACCCTCTCCAAAGAGTCAGCTTGCCGGATCCGCTCTAACTGTACCTGGAGGAACAATACAGTAAGATAAGTGCAGAAGGCTCCTCCCAAGTTTTCTCAAGTTGACTTTGGTTTAGCTGAGATGGAGCAATTCCCAAAAGCTGCTGGGTAACACACCCAGTGTAAGGGGTGGGACTGTGGAAGTGAATGAGACCCAACCCAATCTCCGAGAACCCACAGTTCAGTTGGGGGGAAAAGAAAACCATATAGAGAATTTCAGCACAGTATACTAAACATCAGTTGGCAGCATTCATCGAGTGCCAAGGCTGCATGGCATGGGGGTGGGTGGTGGACCACTGCTGCCCCGCTTGAGGACTTAGAAGGGGTTCCATGGGGAGGACAAAGCTAAGCTACGCCTTGAAAGGAGTGAGGAAGTGATGACACATCATGCTTTCCAGAGGGACTACCGCGCTGTGGGCAAGAAACCACACACGTAGTTACAACACTTTACAACATAAAGTATACAATGTACGGCAGAAAGATGGAAAAAATACAGGGATAGGCCTGGTTGGGAAGGGTCTTATCTGGTGTGCTAAGGACTTTATACTTTACTCTTAAGGACCAGCAAAGTATAGAAGGAAAGGGAAGGGGGACAAATCTGAAGTACACACCTGGTTTTAGGTGTGAATGACCAGGCGCAGGTACTGGGCTGGGGGAGGGGCAGCCATAGTCTCTAATCCTCTAGCTATTGTCAGTGGTCATGGATTGGCAGGCTTTCCTGGGTACCAAGACCCCCTAAAGTGCCTTGGTGCTCTAAGGGTTCCCCAAGTGCCTCACCTGAAGGGTCTGAGAAAGCTTTACAAAATCTCTCTGGACTTGTTCACTGACATCTAGTTCTGTCTGCAACCTCTGCGCTTTATTCTTCTCTTCAAACATTAGTTGTTCAATGGTAACCTAAAAAATGCAAGTTTTGAATGAAGATTACTGCCAAAGAGCCGTAAGTCAGAATCACTTAGGAAGTCTAGGAACCTGTAGTCTCCTACTACTAGAGAGGAAAGGTGAGTATCTGTCACATTCCTAAATCCTATTGGTCTCCTGTTATCTGTAGGACAAAGGTGCAAGCTGCCTAAGCTACTTGTCCCTAAAATAAGTATGAAAGCCAGAATAATAAATGAATTAATATGCTGCGTGCACGTGTGCACACACACATCTCCGCACCCCCAGCAGCCTGGTGACTGATTAATCATCAAAAAGTAGCTGCTAAGATCAGTAGCTACCACAGCAACAGGGACAGAAACTTTGGGGATTTCCTCTCATAACCACAACAGTCAAGCATCTGCCTGGAAAATTCTCTGTGACTGTGCCCCAGGCAGCCCCAGCTATCACCAACCTTCCTTACACAGACACTTCAGCAGCACCACGTGGGAGCATTTCTAAAAACAAAGGACTATTGAATAACATGTACACAGTGTTTTTACACTTAAAGGTCTGACCACACAGCTCACTGAGACTGTTTCTAGGAAACCTCCCCCACAATTAGCCTCATGCACTTTTATTCTAACTGGAATAATCACAATTTAGGCAGCAAATATGGTTAAAGGCAGTATTTGATAGGTGAGTCCAACAGAATGACACTTTGGAAGCAGTGCTTCTGTGACAGGTTTGCTTCCTGGCCCTTGAGCTCATCACCTCAAAAGCCAGGAAGGCCTGTGACACAGGCCTCCAGAGCTGGCAGGGTCTACATCTGACCCAACTCTAATGAAATCAATTCATTTCCTTTCCTTTCTGCAAGCAGAGAATCTTGACAACTTTCAGAAGATGGCACTATTCAAAGCAGCAACATATATTTTTTAAACAGGCAAGATGTGAGCCTACATTCTTAGCACTAGCTTTTATATTTAATTACCAACAAAAATATCACCTTAGCAGCAGTCTCTTTCTTTAACTGTTCTTCCAACGTGATTTTCATTTCCTGAAGGCTCTCAAGCTGTTGCGACTTCTCTCTTAAGGTGGATTCCAACTGTGAAAGTAAGAAGGAAAAAGCTGAAACAAAGAAGTCCCACTAGGTCCTGCGACCTGGAGAACTGTGCCGAGTCCGCAGGTCCTCCTAGGCCCTGGACCTTGGCTGTGCCTGTAATGCTCTTCTCACCTTTTGGTCCTGGGCAGAGCTGAGGAACAAGGATTCTATCCTGGAAATAAAGGGAACCACTGGGGGGTTTTCAACCAGACTAGGACATAGTTTATAATTTTTAAGGACCACCTTGGTTTCATTATGAAGATGAAATGGGATGGGATCAATTTGGGGGGCAGGGAAAGAAGTTAGGCTGTTACATTCAGCTGCGTGAGAATTGAAGTCTGAACCTAAACTGTAACAGTAGGAATGGAAAGGATGGGACATGATCAGAATGCTGGTAATTTCTGCCAGTGCAACCTCAACAGTGTAGTGGAGGCAGAGTCCAGGCTGCAGTGGGCTGAGGAGTGGCTGGGGCGTCAGGCAGTGGAGGCTACTCTCAAGAACCCTGGCTGTAAAGGGTAGAAAAATGGGTAGCCTGAGAGAGAAAAGTATAACCCAAAGAAAAATTTTTCTCGTAACGGGAAACATCTGAGCATGTTTATACGCAATGGAAAAGGCCAATAACGAGGTAGAAGTTCAAGGCCCATGCCTGAGAGGGGAAGACAGAAGTTGTCTGGAAAAGACGTGAAGGATTCCGTTTAAGCACAAGTGCCGTGAGAGAACACTGGTCAGAAACAGTCATTTTCTCTGAAGAAACTAGAGAGAAGGCTGGGAAGAAAAGAGAGCAAGTAACTGAGGGGCCAGGAAGCTGAAGGTGGTGTTGCTGATAATGGGGGTACAAGCCACAGTCTGCTGAGTCGGGGGTGAGTGTGACTGCCTGAAACAGCCACTGGGAGGAACTAAGGACAAATGAAAGGCTGACTGAATGGCACTTAAGGCCCAACTGATGACATGAGCACTCAGTGTTACTCGTTCCAGTGACATCAGCAGCTTGGGGCAGAGGCAGAGAGGTGAACACCAGGATTCACCCAGAGTTGGACAGTATCAAGTGAGGGCAGCAGAAAGACAAGGAGTGAGGGGACCTGCAGGTGTTGGTGGGAGACCAGGTGAAGAAGCAATCCACATAAGTAAGATGCAGCTTAGAAGGAATGAAAGCAAAGCCGCTAAAACCAGGAGAAAGGAAGTCGCTAAAACCAGGAGAAAAGGGAAAATTCAGGGAAAGTTCTGAATGAGGTACTCAGACAGACGGCCCTGAGGGATTAAGAGCTGGAAGAACGAGCAACAGGTCAGGGAACGTGAGGCGTGGTGAAGCCAAGCGTGGGAAAGAAGGGCCAAGTGGAGGCTAAGGTCACTGAATCGACAAGCGATGAGGCCAGGGAGTTGAGTGCAGTCATTTACCAAAGGTGTTGATGTTGTCTAACAGAAGAGGACTAAGCCACCTAGAAAACATCATCCCCTGTTTGTAAAAGATGCTGTGCATATTTCTACTGTAGCTTTAAGTATATATCATGTCACGACCATGCCGCTCAATAAATGATCTCTATTATCATCATCACACCCTTATCCCACTGTATTTCCCCCATTTAGACAGAAGTTCCTTGAAGACAGGGACATACTGTAACTATATTTTATTCCTTGGATCTAGCACAGTAGGATTCAATAAATAACTACTGGTTGCTGACAGAATTAATTTGAAACTCATGAAACTCACCTGTCCCTTTTCTACTTTTATTCTTTCTAATTCAGCTTTTAAGCTAGAAATGGAAGCTAGAAGAAAAAAAGAGGGAGAAGTGTTAGCATTTATTGATTATCGTGCATTTAAATCTTTTTCTTACAACTCCCCTTTCTACCATAACCCTGATCTCATATAATGAAAGGAGTCAAATACATACTGAACATGGGGAGGAAAAACCAAAGCCCCTTTCTCAAAGTGATCCCCAACCAATCAGCATCGTACTCCAGCTCAGGTAAAAGCAAAGTCCACACAAATGAATACTATGTCATAAACTCCCTCTACAAACATCCACATCTAACTGAGGTGTGGAGTGGAGATATTCCCAGCAGAAGTCTGTTAACACATCCAAGGAAGGGAATGCCACCCATCTAGTCAGGGGCCTGGGTTCAAGTACTGAGTTTCCTATCTACTAGTAATTGCCAGAGGCCATTAGAGCTTCTAAAAAGACAATGAGTTTGGGGGATTTTTTTTTTTTTTTTACTCCCAATGACTGGATATATCAGAACATCTGAAAACTGGACTGAGTCCTTACTTAACTCTTTCCTCTCCCTTTCTGTTTTCCACATTCTATGACCAGGTATTGCTTCTTATAATCAGAAAAAAAGTTTTATTTAGTGCCTCCAGTTCTAAACTACATCACTTTTATCTTCACCTATTTCTTCCTTGCAGTTTTCTATTTCTAGCTGCAGAGTTTCTTCAAGGTTTTCTTTTAAGCACTGTTCTGCTTGAATTTGCTCTTTTAGGAAAAGGATCTCTGCCTTCAGCTTTTCTTCCATGTGGTCTGCTGCTGTCCGCACATTAATGATGTTCTCACGGTAC